GCTTCCTCTACTGGTCTAGCAAGTTTCCCTGTTTTGTTAAGAATTTTAATCATGTTCTGTCCTTTTCTCCCATTTTCTCTGGGCTCATCTCTTGGTCCTTATTCCTAACAGTCACTCGAGGCAGCTTGGCAGCATCAGCCTTTGGTCTCTTTCTCCTTTGCTCCAGGTGACTGGAGACAATAGCTGTCTCTCAGACGGCCACCCGCAAGCTTTAGAGACCTCAGCTGGTCCTCATCAACCGAGCAGGAAGAACGCCAACGTCAAGGACCGTGTGTCATCTGACCAAGGGATTTTAAGAGAACCTGGTCCGAATTGGTCAAACCTACTCAACCGATCCATGTGTCTGGGTAGTGACCACAACCGTGACCCCATGTGTGCATTCACCTGCCCCCTTGTATACAGGTGCAAAGAGAAGGCATGGAGATTAAAGGACACCTGAAGTTACCCTGGGCAACCTGTGATTTTTACGATCCACATAATAAAGATGAGTTTTGGCTTTGCATAAATTTTCTCTACCTGATTAATGTTAATGTTGGTTATCTTCTCATCCGCTCTTTCTATAACTTTCAGGACAACTTCAATCATTTCATAGTCATAGGGATCCAACTGCATAAAAACAGAAATCGTTCACAACTTAAGTAGACATTTCCACGATAGTAGATGATCTTATCCAGTGCCTTCATCAATACAACCTACTAGCTTAAGATCTCAATGCAGTGCGTATGGTAGAATACACCAATTAATCAGGTGGAATTTAGATAGATAGATAGATAGATAGATAGATAGATAGATAGATATTTCTAAAAAGAAAGGAGGTTTTCACTTTTCTCTTTACTTCTGCCCACTTAAGAGCCTGGTTCCAGAACTTATCTGTACAAAGGACCACCAACACAAGGAAGATCTCTGCACAGATGACGCTGAAAGCTAGGTGTCCATCTCCCACCCACCCTCACACCACCCCAACCACCCTGTGTCCAAAACAATTCCAAACTTCACAAGCTTTCTTTTAAAAAAAGAAATCAGATAAGAGGATTACAGCGTGTGCACAAAGACACCCACTCCAAAATTCATCATGAAAAACCCTCAGAACTTAAAGAGTCTATCCATAAAGTGCTGGTTAACCCAGCACCTTTCACACATGTGGTGTAACCAAAAGTCAGCCAGGAAAACCAGACAGACGCACGTGGTGACAATCACGCGGACAGAGGAGCAAATGGCAGCCGTTTCATCACTGAAATGTTGACATTTGCATCTCTGGTAAGTGAGATCACAGAGAACTTTCTGGTTTTGATTTACACTTTTCCGTGCATCTTTTTCAAAAGAGCAGGTACTATTTCCAAAACTTCAGGGAAGACTGTTTTTACAAAGGGGTGAAAGGCAAGAAAATGACATTGACATATTGAAATCTAAAAACTGTCTCAAACGTAAGCGTCTACAGATACAGGACTTTGGGTCTAGTGTATGAGCTGTGTAAGTGACAGAGACGGGGAGGGGTTGCAAACACCTCACCTTGTGCAGGATTCCACTGAGGCTGATGACCAAATCCTTCGTGCTAGACAGCAAGGGCACCATCTCGACTGCCTTGGCCAGGAGTCTGGGGTGCTGCTGCCTGGTCAGCTCAGCGGCCGCTTCGCCCTGGCCCTGGCTGACACTGGTGGGGTGCAGCAGGGTCTCAATGAAGAGCTGGAGCGCAGCGTCACAGTCCAGCTGGAAGGAGCTGTGGGAAGTGACCGTTTCCTCAGGGCCGCACGTGGGAGCAACTCTGGGGCCCAGTGTCCCAGGAAGACACAGGCGCGTGCTCCCAGCCTGAAACCTGACCTCTCTCTGCCTACTCCCCAAGGGGATCTCGTGCCGTATTGTGTTGGGCTGCTAACCAAAAGGTCGGTGGTTCGAATCTACCAGCTGCTCCTAGAGAAATGAGAGGCCCTCTGCCATTAAGATTTATATACTCTGAGAGCTCTGGTGGCCTAGTGGCAAGAAGCTGCACTGTCATCCCAGAGGTGTGCAATTTGAATCTACCAGATGCCCTGCTGGAGAAGGAGGGGCAATCTCCTCCTGTACCGGTCAGATCTGATTTGATGGTACACAACAAAAATAAATTAAAAAAAAAAATTTACATCCTCAGAAACCCAATCAAGGGTTGTTCTAACTCAGAACCATCTTGATGGTAGTGGGTTTTCAAGTCTGTTCTCAGAACTCCTGGTGGCATGGTGGGTTAAGCCTTAGGCTGCCAACCAAAACTTCGATGGCTCCAAACCAGCAGGGAAACGAGGTCTTTTGCCTCTGCAGATCCGCTCTAGGACTCTGAGGCACTCGCCTGCCCCACAGGGTCACTGTGGATCACGGCCAACGCAGAGGGAGGTGTGGCCTGCGCTCTCCAGCACCACCCGCGCCTGCTGACCGTTCACAATTCACAGTCTCTGAAACCAGATGGACAGTGCCCACGAGTATCAAATATCAGTGACGGTGATTCCGGAACTCTGACAGTCTAAGGGAATTGTCAGGGGAGGTTCAGAAACGTGTAGCTTTACTTAAGTGCCCGATGTGAAGTCTATAATCAGGCAAGTGTGGGAAGCACTGAAGAGTAAACAAAAACACTAAAATACTTTCACTCTGCACGCTGTTCTCATTTCTCATCTCCCCAAAGTCAACCTCCATCTCCACCTGACTTAGAACCTTTAGAAATTTAGCATTTGACCTGAGGTTTAGCAGGACACTGGATTTCCTCATTTTGGAGGTGACCACAGGAAGGCCCCATGCAGTGGTCACTTCAGCAGGGTTCTAAAGGACTATCAGTGTTTTCCCACTGCTGTCGAGCCAGGCTGACTCGGAGCTGACCCCCATGAGCTTCTGGACGCTGTCCATCAGGGCCTGTTACTCACCCTTGCATATGCGGCTGGATTTGAACTGGCTACCTTTAGGTCCGCAGTGTAACTCCATATGAACTGTGCCACCAGAGTCCCCAACCAGTGTGTTAGCCTCAGAATAAAAATGCCACTTCAGTTTCAAGAACTACCTGCAATATTCCAGAACGAGGCTCGTGTCCACGTCAATATTCTCCACAAGGGCTTTGACGAGATCCTTCTTGGTGAGAAAATGCTGTCTGAAAGCTGGTTGAAAGGAAATCTAGAAATGAGGAAGAGGAAAAAAAAACACCCTAAAAATACAAAAACCAAACTCATGACGCATTAAACCAAAACACACGAGAACAGAAGTACCATTGTGAAGTACTTGTCTTTTGTTAGTAAGTCTTTTAAATAAAACACTGTTTTTCTCCAGCTCCCCCACCTGGAACGGGTGCCCTGGCGGTGAGGTGCTTGAAGCCCCCGCCTGCGGACTGATCGTTTGCTGGTTCTAACCCACCAGCTACTCTGTTCTATAGTCGTCGAGTCAGAACGGTGGCTTTGCTTCTTTGCTTTTTGATTCTTTCATGTTCCCCCAAGACCCACTTGACTGACATTGCAAGAGCAGAGGATTCTCTGGTATGAGGCAAGGCTTCAATGAGCACAAATGACCATGAAGGCCGGATGTTTAAGCTGTCTGTCCGTTTATGACAGTAAATGGTTTATTGCTTGGTGCTGAGAACTAAGGCTCCAGCTCTGTAAACAACAGCTGGGTCACTTATGGTGGGAACAAAAACCAAGTGAACACCATGCTACTGTCAGAACCGACTCACTGCTGACCCTCCCGGCGGTGACCAGAGGCAGGAACGGGAGTCTGTCCGTCCTTCTCTTGTGGAGCAGCTGGTGGACGTGAGCCCCGAGCCTTCGGGTTGGCAGTGCCATCCCTTACCACTAATCTTGGCCATATTTCTTCTAATACGTTTCAGCAGAGATTCCAAGGAATCTCTAGGAAGAAAGGCCTGGTCCACTTCCCACAGGTCACCAGCCGGCTCATGAACAGATGGCAACAAAATATTCACACGGTGATGACGCCAGATGGGGCCCTGAAGCTGGAAATGACGCACAACGCGCAGCGGCTGCGACAGTGGTCTCCAACACGCCAGCAGTCACAGAGTCGCACAGGACCAGGGGGTACGTCGCCCTGTGCACGCAGCTTGCTGTGGGCCAGCACTGGCTCAGCACCAACTGACCACACACACGTATGCGTGCACGCTTGCTGCTGTCTGTGCCACAGAGTTGGAGCCGACTCATAGCTGACACTCCTGCAGGTTTTCGGAGTTAATCGCTTAGGAGGAAAATGTCCATCTTCCGACGGCAGAGAAGCTGGGGGATTCCAACCCTGCACCTTTGGGTTGGCAGCGCGACTCCTCACCGCTAAGCCACCACGGCTCCTTTGTCTATGTTTACGTTCATGGTCCAGCGATCGACTGGCCGCTCTGTGGGAGAAAGACGGGCAGTCGTCTGCTGTGAGATGAACTGCCTCTGAAAACCTGCTGGATGGAGGGCCTGCGATGGGTGTCTCCCAGCCTGAAGACACACGACAACCACAGCATCATGGACATCCGTTCGTGCACGAGTGTAGGAATGAGAAAGTCAAAACGCAATACGGCCCCACTGCTATGGCATCAGTCCAGCGGGCAGGGTCTGAGCAGGACAGAGCAGACTGGCCTCCTGGGGTCTCCAAGGCGGGATCCCTGAGGACCGATCACCACACCCGCCTCCCGTGGAGTGGCTGACAGCTGACACTGGCGGAGCGCAGCAGACGACAAGGTCAAGTCTCTTTCTAGCTCCACACATTGAAGAAGGGCGTTTGCTGCAGGCACACAGGTGGCACCTCTCTGCCGGTGCGGACCTGCTGGTGGTCCCACGAGAGGAAAACGGGGCAATCTCCTATGTGATTTGCGGCCACGGAAAACCCAGGGCAGGGTCAGCTATGCGTCAGTCAGTGCTGGCTCCATGGCAGGGAGCGGGACGTACAGAAAACCGGGAAAAGGGCCCCTCTTCCGGAGAAAGCGTGGAGTGTACACTCTACGTACTTAACACAGCTTCTGAGCCACCCTCTCGCCAAGAGCACCGAAGACGGAGATCTTGGTTGTACACGGCCCCCCGCGTGGCTATCAGCAGGGAGGGGCCCACAACAGCTAGCGGCTCACTTACACCAAGCTTGCTGAGCCGCACGCCCCACTGAGCGTCTGTCCTGAGTTCACAGAACTTGGCCTGCACTTCTCTGTCCTGGTGGAGCTTGGCCAGCTGAGAGCCCACCAGAGATATGGCCTAAAAAAAGATGAAAGGGCAACTGTAAGCGGATTAAGTTTGACACCAGCTGAGGAACAGTGCAGGTGGGGAACACTGAAGGCCGTGGACGGTCCAAAGAACACTGCCCTCGGACTTGGAAAAAGGGGGTGCTGGAAGGCTCCCGAGGAGTAAAGACGGGGAGACGGTCTCGGGCACTCTGAACACGCCATTGGGAGGGCGTCCTGCTTGGTGGAGGGTCAGCAAAAGAAAAATCAGGACGCTGCATGAGACGGACCAATGCAGGGGCTACCACTGTGGGCTCACGCACGGCACTGTGAGAGGGCACAGGGCCGGGTGGTCCTGCTGTCCGCTATTCGTTATTAAGTCAGAAATGACTTAGCAGGGAGCTCTGGTGGCCTAGTGGCAAGAAGCTGCACTGCTATACCAGAGGCACACAGTTTGAATCTACCAAATCCTCTGCTGGAGAAGGGGCAATCTCCTGTACCAGTCAGATCTGATTTGACGGTACACACACACGCACAAAAATAATAAAAATTAAATTTAAAAAATTGGGAGAAAAAAAAAAAGACTTGGCACCACCAGCACCAGCAAGCGCCTCTTCATAAAGCCCAACAGTGAAAGGAAAACCTTTCCTCGTGACACCAGTGTGGGCAGCGGCACCTCACTCTGCACACGCTCAGGACTTCTTAAATAAAAAGTACGTAACTGGGTTTTTCACAAGATGTCAGAAATGGAATCTGGCTCTCCTTCATGAGTTCAAGGTTTAATTACCCTGAAAGTTAAACTCCCAAAGGAGGCAAAGTTGGAAGTAAGACCCAACAAAAGAAGTTTTCCTACCCCTTTCTACCTGTCCTGCAGAAAGAGAGCTGCCTCATGGGCTGAGGGGTTCAGCAAATTGAGAATGAGTGTAAACCAAGATTTCTGGCTATGTCCTTACAGATTTAAAAGAATAAAAAGTATCCGTAATTCTTTTGGGTAAAAACAAGACAAGCATGTGAGCCACCAAAATGTCACGAGTCAGGGAGAAGCAGGGAGAAATCCTGGGAGTGAGTCAAGTGAGCCAAACCCTTTCCCAGAAAAGTCTTTAAGATCTAACAGCAAAGACAAGTTCAAGTCACATCCTCGACGCGTCATGGTCACGAGCCGAAGGCGTGTTTCTTTTGATCATACCAAAATTTTGTCGTAATTTTGCCACGCCGAGTCCACAAGCTTCCAGAGGTTTTCAAACACTTCTTTGTTTGGGGAGAGAGTGCTGTAACCCAGCGCCAGGTCCAGGTCCACCCGGCGACAGCTGAACACCTACAAGAACAGGGCAGCCACAGAGGCCAGTGACCACAGTCAGCGCAGAGGTCAGCAGAGCGTGGCGGCTCAGCGGCACTAAACTCAATTACAGGCCTGTTAGGGACGGGACTGGATCCCTCGCCAGTCCTCGCCTCCTACGCCGGTGAACCCATCGGGGAAGAAGACCGTCTCATCATGTTAAAGAGACCCGATTAATAATACCAAAAATCCAAACCCCGTGCTACCGAGTCAATTCTGGCTTTTGGAGGGTATAAATGTAACTAGAACAGACTAGCCTCATCCTTCTCCCATGGCAGGCTCGTGGATTTGAACCACGGACCTCTTGGTCTCACAGCCCATCATGTAACTTGCACACAAGCAGTGCTCCGCGCACCAGGGTAGGGTGTGTCTTAAGTCAGCTATTCCTGAGCTAGAAAAGGGCCGCATAGGTCCACGGAAGGAAGCACCACAGAGGGGAGGACACGGTGCAAAGCCTACCAGGTTCTTCCAAGTTTCCTTCCACTTCACTGTTCGTTCCGGCTCACGTGCTGGGCTCACCCCTTCTCAGACCTCTAAGAATTTAGCGGCACGATGCAGGCTTTAGGCACAGTGTCTCTAAGTTAGACCTGTCCACACTCAAGTGATGCAGGCTTTAGATGCAGTGCCTCTAAGTTAGACCTGTCCACACTCAAATGCTGGCATTCAACCTGCCAGGCTGCTGTAACGGTGGTCTCATGGGGTTTGGCTGCAGGTGATTCCAAGCTGGCATCTCCTCCTGAGCTTGACAACTAAAAAATCCTCCACACAAACAGTGCGCTCGAAGCGTAGAACCCAGAGCCGGACAGAGCCGTCAAAGCGTCTCCGACAGGACAGCCAAACGCACTCGCTCTGGACCGTCTGCCCCGTCTGCTTCTCTACCAACCCTCCCACCTCAGCAAGGGGCAGTGTTACCTCCTGATGGTGGAGTCTCAACACCTAGGAGCAAATCATTTTGTGATATTTCATCCTGGTTACGGACTCAAGGAGGCCCGCTAACCGCAAGGCCAGTGGTTCGAATCTACCAACTACTCTGAAGGAGAAAGATGGGCAGTGTCCTCTCAAAAAGGTTTGTCACCTTGGAAACGATGGAGGGTCACTGTGAATGAGTCAGAACGGACGCCATGAAGTGGTCTGGGCTTTGGTTTTTAGACCAATGAGCTGCTTTAAAGCATAAAAAGAAATAAAATCAGGGGACAGCAGCGGAAAAGGCTGATGGCGTTTTGTCCACCACACAGCAGGACGTCACCCACCCTAATGGAAGAAGCGGAGAGGCATTCAGCTAGCACACAGGTTCGTACGGACGCACACAGCCCACGGCTGCCGGTTAGGAGCCCGAGAAGGGCCAGCACGCACTCCCACTCACCTTGTGCAACAGCTTGGTGGCATTTCCCCTGATAAACACCGTGGCTTTTTCTTTCAAACTCGGCACAACGTTCTTTGACTTAGCCATTGTGGTTTCTCCAAACAGCTGTCAAAGCAGAACACGAAGATCGTTAGGTCTGCTTCTCTGCGTCGAGCTGAAAGCATTTCTGAAATATTAAGGAACTTCTACAATTCATCACTCTAAGCAGCAAGGACTGGCTTTTCAGTTAGTGATAAGAAGTAGGGGATGGGTGAAATTGAACCGGGAGGTACAAAAAAGCACCGTTTACAAAGGCTGCATCTCGTGGCAGCAGCGGCCTTAACAAGCTGCATGCCTCGACAGGTACACAGAGAACATGTCCATTTTATATTTCAAGTTACATTCGAGAAAGCCGACCTTGCCTTTTCTTAAAAAAATTTTTTATTATTTTTTTGTGTGTGTATGTGTACCGTCAAATCGGATCTGACTTGTGTAGGAAGAGATTGTCCCTCCTTCTCCAGCAAATCATCTGGTGGATTTGAACCACTCGCCTCTGGGATTGCAGTGCAGCTTCTTGCCACTAGGCCACAAGAGCTCCCTAAAGCTGAACTTTCTTTTTTTTAATTTTATTATTTTTGTGTGCGTGTACCGTCAAATCAGATTTGACTGGTACAGGAGGAGATTGTCCCTCCTTTCCCGGCAGAGCATCTGGTGGATTCGAACCGTGCGCCTCTGGGATTGTAGTTGCAGCTCCTTGCCACTAGGCCACCAGAGCTCCCCTAAAGCTGGCCTTTCAATAATTAAATTAAATTAAGGCCTTTTGTTCTTAGTGTCGTTATGAGACATCTATGACTCGACGGCACCTAACAACAACAACAACAAATGAAGGCAAACCCCCAGGAACCCAGTTCCCTAAGCATGTTGTCTATGCTGGTTTGCTGTCTAGAGTCAGTTTGTTTGTTGGTAATTTATGTTCTTTTTGACAATGTACTCAGCACACCGTACTCGTTTCAACAGTTTACAAATGTACCGTTCGGTAACACTGAGAAGCATCTTCCAATTGTGGAACAATTCTCACTCATTTCTGATGTGTTCCTCCCTCACTAACATAAGTCCACTGCTCCCTAGAGTTCCCATCGATCCTTTCAAGCTCCTGTAGTCAATTCGATCCCACAGAGATAGCTCTGTGAACAGCATAATTCTCAGGCCAACAATCTCTGCTGGTGAAGCTGAACTACACTTTGGCTTTATGAAGTCTTGGGAGTGTATTTGTGGCTTACTCCTAGAGTCTTTTAAAATGACGCTGACAACTGAGAAAACAATGATGGCACTCAAACAGCAAACACACAGACCGGACAGGCTCCAAACTTCATCACAATGGAATCCCAAGGAGGATGCCACTGCAGCTCTCCCACGCATGTCCTGACACCCCGGGGAATCTACCCGACCACTCGGAATCTAAAGGAAGAGTCCTGTACGGTTGGAAGGATGAGACCAAAAATGTATGCAAGTGCCTCGGACCAACCACGCCTGAATCTTGGCAGATGCTCTCAAAAATGTGGCGAAACCTGACAAATTTTGGCTTTCCCCGTGACACAGCCCAGGGAGGATCATGTGGGTTCAGACTCCTCCACCTGGTGGTTCTTCTGTACTTGTATTTCCCCGAAAGCAAAGTATTTGTTCTCAAAATGATATACCTTTTGACTCAAGTTGTCATCCATGAAGTTTGACACCTGGTGCTGAAGACAGGTGCCAAGCGAGCAGATTAGGAAGCGGAGGGCCAGTTCCCACTGGCTGGATTCCTGGAGGTTCTGAAGCAGCGCAGAGATGGAACTAATGATGGGTAGGATGAGGCAGTCTCCTGGCAAAGGAGAAAAGCATGCTGAGCGCAGAGACTCTAACCGTCCGCACTTTCTTCACGCCAAGGATCACTGTATTACTGGAAACGGTTCTCAGCGATAGCACACCTCCATCCTCACAGGATTCATTCTCAAAGTTTGTTAACATGAGAGCTAGGGTCAGGCCTGATTTAGATCATGAGATAACTAACAGCACTACCTAATGAGATCTTCTGACCGCAGGCACGGAGCCCTGTTGCTGTGGGAGTGAGCTGAGAAGTCTGTGGCTGGACCACTGACCACTGGCCACTGGCTGAGAAGTCCGTGGCTGGACCACTGGCCACTGCACGGTGGAGAGAAGGATTTGGGGCATCAGAACCCAGTGGAGCAGCGCTCAGTCAGAACCGACTCCTCGGTAGTACATTTGGTTTTACTGTCCTTTGCCTGTTATTACAGGTACTCCCACCCCTAGAGGTTCTTGTCACCAGCTCTGTATGGGGGGCAGAAATGTACATACAATGGGGTTTTCAAGGCGAGGCAGGGCTTCCAGAAGCCGACCCCCAGGGCTGCCTTGCAAGGCGCTTCAGGTGGGTGCGAACTGCCAACCTTCTGGTTAGTGGCTGCGTGCTGAAATCAGTGGGCTGAAATAAGGGTTGAGGTCGACCACCTCTCCATCTGAACCACTATGCTCTATGAGCAGGTTCAGGATCAGTGAGCCAAACAACACACGCCTGACCTTCCGGAAGAGTAACAAGGCCCTGGGTTCTCCTGAAGGACGTCAAGCCCTTCAGAGTCCGGATGCCCAGGAATTTCTCTATGAACAAGTTTACAAACTCTGAACACGACGCCAAACGGTTCTTGTGCTAAATACCTTCACTGGACGAGCAGTAAGGCAAGCTCACGGAATCCAACGGGTACCTCTTGCTTTCTACAAGAGAAGTGACATCAAATAAACAACTCCCTTCCACTACTGGGAATATGCCCCAAAGAAACCAGAAGCTCCACCCAAGCAGATATATGCACACCCATGTTTATCACGGCTTTGTTCACAAGAGCAAAGAGTTGGAAACAACCTAAGTGCCCACCAACAAATGAATGGATAGAGAAGCTGTGATATAGTCACACAATGGAATACTATGCTGCATTGAAAAACAAGGAACTCATGCAATATTATACAAAATGGGTGAGCCTGGAGGACATTATGCTGAGTGAAATATCCCAGTCACAAAGGGACACATACTGCATAGTGCCACTGTTGTAGAATGGGACTGGCATAGGGGTTGGGGGGAGGCTGAGAAAGAGGGAATAAATAATGTATACTGGATTGAAACAGATGAGGGAGAAAACTATTTAAAAGGGATATATGAATTAGATATTATTGTCATGACAGGAGTCCAGAATGAAGGCTGCATAGTGGAGTGGACCTGGGGGGAGGGATTGTGTAACAATGAAAGAATTTTTTCTTTTTCTTTTCAAAGAGAGAAACAAACTGGGGGTGGGGGGAAGGGTGGGCAGGGAGAAAAGTGCAACAATGAATTAATGGAAATAAAAAATCTCTGTAAATTTTCATTAAAATTAATAATAATAATTAAAAAAATGGGGGGAAGAAAAGTACATGCATGTGGAGAGACCTACATAGTGCTGTTTCATATGATGCCATAAAGCAAGCTGTTACTTAAACATTTTTTTTATTAATTTTAATGAAAGTTTACAGAGACTTAGGGTTTCCAGTCATTCATTGTTGCGCTTTTCTCCCTCCCCCCCAATTCACTCTTTTCCTTGAAAAGTAAAAGAAAAATTATTTCATAGTTATACAATCCCTCCCCCCAAGTCCACTTCACCAGGCAGCCTTCACTCTGGACTCCTGTCATGACAATAATACCCAATCATATATCCCTTTTAAATAGTTCTCTCCCTCATCTGTTTCAATGCAATATACATCATTCCTCCGCTCCTTTTCTGTCTTCCCTCAACCCTGATGTCAGTCCCGTTTTACAACAGTGGCCCTATGCAATATTTGTCCATTCGTGACTGAGATATTTCACTCAACATAATGTCCCATTTTGTATAATATTTTATGAGTTCCTTGTTTGTCAGTACTGCATAGTGTTCCATTGTGTGAATATACCAGAGCTTCTCCATCCATTCGTTTGTTGATGGGCACTTGCTTGGGTTGTTTCCAGCTCTTTGTTATTGCGAACAAAGTCGCGATAAACATGGGTGTGCATAAAAACCTTTTTTTTTAAATTCCCAGTTGTGCACATGAATTGTCAGCACCACTCCAATAAGAAATGAAGACAGATGTTCTAATACAGACATGCAAGAGACACGGCTAACTGGATGAACTGTCTGTCACTGCTGAGTGTATCCCAGGGGCAGCAGACAATGAGACAACGGGCACGGCTGGCAGTCCACGGGCCCTCAATCCACAGGGCCTCGTCTGGTCCCCCCAGCGCTTGCCCTGAGCCCCACACAGCCCCCGGGGTAACCATCCCCCGCTCCCAGCAGCCCAGCCTAGCTTAGCCTGGTTCTGGACTTGATGGAAATACAGTCAGCTGTCTCACTTGTGTCTCTGGCTGTTCCGGCTCGCGTGATGCACGTGAGATCATCCGTCTCACTGCGTGCACTCCAGTTCCAAGCTTCTAACATCTCAAATTTCCATACTTCAGAACCAAATCCACACAAAGCCAGGAAGGACCGAAATGAGAATTACCCGTGAGAGGCACAAGCGAGGAAATCAATTCGTAGATAACAGGCAGCATCATCTGGGAGTCCAGGACGATTCCGTCTTCGTTGAAGAAGTCGCTGTAGGACCACTCTTCGTACGGATCTTTATGTGTTCCGAAAGAAGTCTAAACCCCAATCGGTACAGAAAAGACCCAGGTCAGGACAGCACAAGAGAGGCCCTACCTTCCCCGAGTTGACCAGAACCAGGCCCAACTGTGCCAAACGCGGTTCTGACGGTCAAATACAAGTATGTCGCCAGGTTCTCGAGGAGCCCTGATGGTTCAAAGTCAGCGGTTCACTCTGCACACAGAGATGCAGCAGTCTGTGTAAAGAAGTCCAGCCTTGGGAGGACCAAGGGGCACCTCTCCTCTGCTCTGCAGGGTTGACGTGCATTCGAGTTGACTTAACGACAATGGATTTCAACAGAACCCACGTTTGCTAACTGCAAGGCCAGTGGTTTGAGCCCACCAGCCACCCCTTGGGAGGAATACAAGGAGATCTGCTTCAGTCGAGGCATACAGCCTTCGAGCCCTTATGATTCAAACTGCCTTCACAGTAACAAGAGGGGATTTGGGGTTAGTTGGTTTCTTCTGGTTTAAAACTCACAATCATGTCATTTGAGATGAAACCATTAATTTTAAGGAGCAGGGGCAGCCGGGTCTTGCTGTAGACCTAACGTTTGAAAACGTTGTGCAGACAGAAGACAGTAAGTGTGACCAGTTTTAAAGAGAAAAGGAAGAGGCCTCCTGCCCATTGCTGGTGTCTGAGTGTGGGGAGCAAGTATGAGTAGCGTGGACTCGCGTGGACTCGGCGTCTCCACGTGGTCGTGTAGACAGACCAGGCGTGTGCGGATACTCAAGAAGCCACACCTCTCAACTACGGTGCTGGAAAGAATCCTGAACACACTGCCAACTGCTAGACAGACAAACACCCTGGAAGCCAAGTGCTTGGGATGCTCCTGGAAGCAAAGGCGTCTGGACCTCAGCTCATCTGCTTTGTCCTGAGGAGGGACCAGGCCCCGGAGAACGACACCACGCCTGAGGACGGCGGCGCGTCAGCTTATAAAGAGGAAGTGCTTCAACAAGAGGGACCAACACAGTGGGTGCAACGAGGGACTCAGAGAAGACCAAGGGTGTGCAGACGAGGCCGGGGCCGTTCCCTCCTGTGACCCAGGGAGTCAGAACCGTCTCAACGGAACGAAACGTCAAGAAGAGGAGCTTTGTCTGAGGACAAGCAATCGGAAAGGGCTCACCTTCACGAGAATGCCACCGTCGTCCATCTGGCACTGCTGGGCAAGCTCCACTGCTATCAGGGTGTACTTACAGAGCTCTAAGGCATCGAGTAGAAAATCTGGAAAAAGAGAAGTCATCAAGCTGATGTTCTGGGGAACAAATGACTTGTTAGTAACTTTATAGCACTTAAAAGGCTGCAAAAGGCCGAAAAGTACCCAGAAAGGCCAAAAAGTACCCAGAAAGGCTGAAAAGTAACCAGAAAGGCTTCTGCAGTGTTTTGCCCAGCCTAGGTGATAAGAGTTGCATGTTTCTTTACCTTGGCTTAAAAGTAAAAGCAGGCATGAGACGGCAAGGAAGGTCACAACCCAGTCAAGATCAATGTCGTGAACAGTTAGCAGTGACAAATAAACCCCAAAAGTGAGTGAGGTATCACCGCCCCTTTTAAAAGGGAGGTGCAGTCCCCAGGGAAAGGGTTCCAAGACTCCTCCCCTCATAACAAAATCTGTGGTTACTCAAGTAACTCCTAGAAAATGGCACAGTATCTGCACATGGCCTTGACCCACCCTCCAGTATACTTTAAGTAATAACTGCTTCTATCTAAGCAGGAGTCGCACCTCTCCTCCCTCTTCATCTTTAAGGCACGGCTTGGACCAGGGGGTCACCATTGAGGAGTCTTCTCTCCCACCCCCACCCCCGACACCTCGCCCACCCGCATGTGCCTGAGTCCACAGGCACGGCCTGTGAAATGAGAGGCCGGCTGCGTGACCTGCTCTGTAGTCACGGAGTTGTTCCACTGCAGAGACGGCAGCGGGGAGGTGGGGAGGGGATGGCCTGCTGGACAGAGGCGCACAATATACGGTACAATAATCGGGTCACCTGGGCTACAGATGGTGGCAGCTTGGCAGGCGAGGGCGTGGATCTCCGAAGGAAGATTTATCCCCACAGGTAGCACCATTGGGACGTCGTTGGCCAACATATGACAAAGCTGCTGACATGTCATAAAGAGCAGCCGTCCGGTGTCGGCATTGCAGTGGTGCTGAAAGAGATCCCTTCAGGGGAGACGAGCCGGGGGTTAGAATACACGTCGTGCAGGCAGGTGCGGCTGCCTGCCTCTCGTTAACACGGAGCTCTCATCGATTCCGCAGCGCACAGGGAGACACGGGACATGTCAACGACGTGACTAGCAGACCGACACGCGCTCCTCTAAACACAGCGTGGAGGCCTCGGCTCCCTTGTTGGAAAGAGGGGTTCTCTCATGTTAATGAGCGAACACTGGGACGGGATGGATCCCAAACCCGTGGATCGGTGCCCGATGTTGTCGCGTCAGAACCAACTCGTGGTGGCTCCTCCAGCAGCTTTTCAAACGCTATGAATCCCACGGGACGAGACTGCCCAGCTTTCTCCCACGGAGCAGCTGCTGTGTTCAAACTGTGAGCCTCTGGGTTGGCCGTGCAATTCCTTACCCCTGAGCTCCCAGAGCTCCCTGGTGTCACATACCAAGGATGAAAACCGACCAGCCCCAAGAGCATGCGCACACAGAGAGCTGCCACGTGAGGACTTATCCCAAGGGAAAGGAACACCAGACCAGGGATCACTAGCAGACACTGAGAGGCAGGGGAGGAGCCCACAGAAAGGACAGACATAGGGAGCTCTGGTGGCCTAGTGGCAAGACGATGCACTGCAATCACAGAGATATGTGGTTCGAATCCACCAGATGCTCTGCTGGAGAAGGAGGGGGAAATCTCCTCCTGTACCAGTCAGATCTGATTTGACGGTATATGTAAAAATAATACAATAAAAAAAAAAAAGGACAGACATGTCCAAGGCCCCAAATCAACGTGCACGCCTCTGGAACTGGGAGCAGGCAGATTTCTGTTCCTTAAAGCACCCACTTCGGTATGTTTTGTGACAATAGCGCTAGGTGGCTAGACAGTTCATCACCACGCTACATCAGCTATGTCTATGCTACTGTTCCTGACTTAGAGGCTGACAACAGGCTCTCAGTACAGGGAAGCAGGAACTCGTAAAAAGGAAGGAGTTTCACTGGAAGCACCCTCACCACCGGCAAACCCCCGGAGCCCAGACCTCACCTGCATTTCGTCAGCGCTGTTCCGACCTTGCCGTGCTGGAGGGCCCTCAGGGTCAGCTCTGCCTCCAGCTCGTGCTCGGTCACCTGCAGCGCCAGGGCCTGCCTGTGCAGCTTGGCCTCCGGGGCCCGGCTCTGCGGCCCGGCAGCGGCGGGCTCCGGGCACCTCTTAGGTTTGTGCCTAGCCTGGGCGACTTCCTGAGCTCGGATGTGCTGTCCGTGGAGGTCGGCCACCAGGGAACGGCAGCCGTACTCTTCAAACGCAAGGAAGACCTCAAAGTTCTCCTGCGGTAAAAGTCAGACAAGTTATAAGTCTTCCCGATACCTGTACTGTCAAAAAAAAAGAATCGGCGAGCTCTGGTGGTCTAGTGGCAAGAAGCTGCACTGCAATCCCAGAGGTGCATGGTTCAAATCCACCAGATGCTCCGCTGGAGAAGGAGGAACAATCTCCTCCTGTACCTGTCAGATCTGATTTGACGGTACACACAACACACACAAAATAATAAAATAAATTTTTTTTATAAAAAAGCTGTTTCCTTTAAAAAAAAAGAATCACTGTTAGCTTTCAAAGATGTCTACTACCTCCCGCCAGCAGAGCTTAGGAGCTCTGATTGCACAGTAGGGAAAGAACCTGACCGCTCACAGAAAAGTCAGTGGTTTAAACACACCAACCACTCTTACAAAAAAAAAGATGAAGAAATCTGCTTCTGTAAAGACTTCACAGCTCACTGCTATCACACTGATAGCGTCCCTTCCAATGAGCTGTGAATCATCACAAGAGGATGCCGCCTCACTGTCCTCCCATGGGGGGCCCGGGGATTTGAAGCCCCAACCTTCAGCAGCCCAGCATGGGACACATCGTGCCACCACGGCTGTGGAAAGCCTCAGGCTGTTCTGTTCCCTCCTGTAGAGTCGCTGGGAGCTGGAATTGACTCAAAGGCAGTCAGCTGCCCCACAAAATAAGAAGTGAAGGCCTTGTTTCTCAAGCTATGAAAGTGATAATATCAGGAAAAATTGGGGGGAAACAGAAAAATATCACTTTAGCCCAGGGTTGCTCAACTTCAGCACTGCAGACATGTGGGGCCAGGTGGTTCCTGGATGGGGAGAGGGTTCTGTGCATCCATCCGAGCAGGGTCTCCGAACATCAACAACTCTGGCCGTTTTCTCAGGATTTCCTTTCGTCAGCATTTACAGGGGCTCGTGTCACCTCCTTCACTTAACAATATGCCACGTCCCTTTTCCTCGTTCCTAACACAAACCACTGCTGCCGGGTAGAGCCGAGCCACAGCGACCTTCCTCTGGGCCCCCGACACCGTTGATCTTTATAGAGGAGACTGTGTACCTTTCTCCAGAGGAATAGCTGGTGGGCTGGGAATGTTTGTATTTTTGGTTTTGGTTTTTTTTTTAGAAATGGTACCGATTCAATAATAGCATTCGTTACAGCTCATTATCCTTACCTGAAAGCTAGCGACAGTTTTAAACAGGCTTAAGACTTCTTCACATTCATCTTTTTTTGGCAAATTGTCTGAAAAGAAATATTTGAGAGAGTTATGGCAGACTTGCAAGCGTCTATGTCATCACAACGTGACAGGCCGAGGTCTTCACTGGGTTTGCTGCTCTTACTTGAAAGCCTCCAATAACCTCTTTCAGGCACCAAGATAAGAAAATGGAAATTTAAAAACATACCCATTTTTTCATAAAGACAGACAGAAGTTTCTATGCTCAATAGAAGAAGTTTTTATGTTCAATAGAAATGGCAATTATTTGGAAATAGATTATAGCTTTCTCCCTTCCCTAGGCGAGGTGCACTCTTAATGGTTTGGTTTAAGCTTAAGGTGACATAAGTTCTCCTTCTTTGATCATAATTAACAGGTAAAAGGAAAATGAATGGAAAAAGCCAAGCCTCTGAGTCCATTCCACGCCTGTAGGACAGGGCAGAGCTGCCCACGAGGGTTTCTAAGGCAGGGGATCTTTCAGACTGCCCCACTGTTCTCTCGTGAAATGGTTCACGGGTTCGAATTGCCGATCTTCCCACAGTTCATCTGCGCCTCCAGAGCCCCTTCCAAGAAGAGCACAACGTGAGATAAACCTGTTCTAGCAGGGAAGTGCTCGCTGATGCATATGAACCAAGGGCGATGGTGATTATTCTCATGATTGTAGTTTAGGTGACAGTTTGCAGAGCAGTGTGTTTCCTAGTCAACAACTTATACACCTTTGCTTTGTGTATCGGCTGGAATTCCCTTCATGTAACAGCACTCTCCCTGCTCCCTCCTTTATGCTCCCATTTCCATTTGCCTTTCTTTCCTGCCTGTTCCTGCCTTTCAAGTCTTGTTTTGGGGCCAGTGCTGCCCTTTTCATTTCCCATGGTTGACTGTCCAAAAGAGCATGTTCTCACAGGCGCCACTGCCCCCTTTAAAGGCTCACCTACTGTCCACCGTTTGGCTGAAAGGTGGCCCTGGAAGTGGGTTCGGTTCCAGCTTTGAAGGGTGTCTGAGAGAACGCCATAGTCTTAGGGGTCCCGACAGTCTCTATTAGACTAGCTGTTCTGGGTTTGTTTTAAATTTTGAATCCTGTCCCATGTTTCTCTCCCAAGCTGCCCGGGACTCTGTGGTCCCCGGTCAGCAGGGCAGATGGGGCAAATTTCATTTTGGTAACTTATACTTTAACCTCTTACAGTGATCTGAGTGTAAGTTTACAGAGCAAACTGGTTTCCTATTCTACAGGTTATTCATCCGCTCCAGCTTTCAGGACGTTGACAGCGGAGTTTAGATAATTCTCTAAGAAGAGAAGTGACCAATTGAAAGAATAAGGCAAGAAGGGGCTTTCCAAGAAGAAAAACAGCACCATCAGTAAAGCCAGAGGCAGGAAGCAGAGCGTACAGAAGGGAGCCGCGCTCAGAGCACAGCAAAGGGCGGATTAGGGAGGAGTTACCTTTCAGGAGACTCCACAGTGTTTTCAGAATGTCTATTGACGTCTTGGCCACTGACAGCCTCCAGGCCTGGTCCTGAGAGAAAAACACAATGGAAAGTCTGTTGTTCTTGCTGACTACTTCATCCAGAAGTAAACAACTGAGAACTACAGAACCAGAACAAAAGCGCTGAAGAGTGGCACGTCCAAGGTGGGGAGGAACAGATGTGAGCGGCAAAAACAGAGTCAAAATTAAACACAAGCTCACCAAGAAACCACCACGTATACACTCGGGATAAACGGTTGGGAGAAACAACAGAACAAGCAAATATCCTAAACAACTTATCAGTCCTGTTACAGCTAAAAGAAAGCAAATCTACTTCCAGCTTATTTACTATTTGGAAAAGAGTTTAGAACAGACATGTAAGAATATAACTTATTTAGAAACTAAACCAGATTTTAAAACGGGAGGAGGGGTGTGAGGAGAGAAGAAAATCAAACGGGCAGAAGCTGTACACTAGATGACGGCGGGGAAATACTCGGGAAGGTTTGGTCCCCACACGGCACTCAACATGCACGTGTCACATCACGACTCTGTTCCCAGTGGCCGAAGAGGAGAGGCCCTGGTCCACCAACAGATGACGGAATGACAAGGTGCGCTCTAACTGCACACCTATGACCCGAAGAAGTGAAGTTCCAAGCCTCACGACGACATGGTGACCTGGCTGATCTGCCGAGTGCCACACTCACTCACCAAAAGGCAAATGTCATATCATCACGTCCATGAAACAGGGAAATACAGAAACAAAAACCCCGCAGCCATCGAGTCAATAAATGCCAACTCGCGGCCACCCTGCTGGACAGAGAGCCGCTCCTCCACGGGTTTCCCAGGGGGTGCATCTTCACAACAGCGGGCTGCCTCATTTCACTTCCGTGGAGCAGCCGGTGGACTTGAACCCCCACACTTTCAGCTGGCAGCCAGTGCTTAACCATGGCACCACTCGGGCTCCTTCCAAATCCATCACGCGGAGTCAGTTCTGACTCCCAGAACCGGGCCCGGAACCCCTCGGTTACAACAGCGCGAGGGAGGGGGTGGAGGGAAGGGAGCCCTTGCCTCGGGGCCTCCGACACTGATGGTGAAGATGACGGTGATGGTGAAGGGAAAGGCTGTGACCATGGCGGCCCGGCGCGATGGGCGTCACCAGTGTCACTGCTCTGTGCGTGTGTGAAAACCGCTGGGCCAGCTCCCGTTCGGGTCTGTGTGCTTTTAGCCCTCCAGCCCTCAGCACCGGTCTCACTACGGGCTGCATTACGAGCTGGTGAGAAGAACAGGCCCCGGCATCTGAGGGTGGGATGAGGGCCTGCCACCTTCCCGTAACCTCGGACAAGTCCTGGAAATGAAAATTTCTGCTTGTGAATTTCATCAGTAAGAAGCTAATAAGAGGACAAGACAGCAAATTCCTTTAAGTCCCTTAGCCTCGTGCCTCCTGCGTAACAGGAGAAGGACCAATGCAGGGAGGCGTCACAGAGTCTATTTTCCACTCACCACACATGGCAGAGTACAACTTCCCCAGCTGCCCAGGCTGAAGGAGCCCCTGGCGTGGTGTGTAACGTGCTGGTCAGAGGCTGGAATCCAACAGTCACTAAGGAGAAGGATGGTAATCTCCCACCATAGAGAGTCACAGCCTCACAAACTGCCCACCGGCCACTGGTTTGCAAATATTCCTAACTGTCAACTCAGGGCTGAGCCTCCACCAGGTTCCCGAGGGTGGAAACGGCACCAGGAGCCGGCCCATCTTCTACCACGAGAGGATTTGAACCACCAGAGAGGGACCGACCTTGAGTTAGCAACGTAATGCTCTAAGGACCAGGCCACCAGCTGTCTCTTTAGGTATGCCTAGAAATTAGTTTCCCTAAAGGTAAAAAAAAAACCCAAAACACCAACCCACAAAACAATCACCCAAGAAACAATTAAATGTACTGATGAGAGAGTGTAGGTATGTAGTGTTAAATTTTTTTTTTATCTTGGGTTGTTGCTGTGCGCTGTTGAATCAGACAAGAGACAAGACCCCTAGCCGAGTCTTCAGCAGGCGTCCAGACGCGGGAGGAACTGCCCATCTTTCTCCCACGGAGCCGCTGAGGGATTCAAACCACGTGCCTTTGGGACTGCAGCGCAGCTCCTTCCCCCTAGGCCAGCACGGCAGTGGGCTCACTGGGCTCAAACAGCACCAAGAGTGAGCACAGGGTTTCGCTGTACAAGTATGAAGGGAGCAAATGGCCCCTGGCTACCACGACAAAGGCGTGGGCTGGCTCCTGGAAACTGGCCCCCTATTCCAGCGTTCTGAGACCCCTGAGGCTTACTCAGTCCGTGACTGAGGAGACTCTCGATAACCGTCACCTGGTCACACACACAATCCTGCAGCTGTTAGGCGCCCCCAAGTCGACTGTGACTCCCGGCTACTCCCTGGCCGACAGATCTGACCCTTGCCCTAGCCTGTGTCAGCCTCATGGTCGGTCTAGACCCCTGTGGTAGTCATTGTGCCCATCCATTCCAATGAGGGTCTTCCCCTCTTATCTCCAGAAACACGGCCACTCATGCGCACGGCTCGTGAGACTGTCTCTGCGTCCCCTCCTCCGAGAAGCCCTCTGGCTGTGCTTCCCCCTGTACACACACGCTGGATACTGCAACGCACTGCTGGGCAGCCCTGTAAGCGCTGTGTGACGGTAGGGAGTCCTTCCCCTCAGGCTCCATCACAGCCCCAAAGGAAATGTATTTGGTTTCTTCTCTACATAATGAATTTACAGAAGAAATTCACCCAGTAGTAGGAAAAGCAGATTTTGTTTGTGCACTTGTCTTTTTCTCTATTATTAATATCCATAAAAATCCAACCTACTCTCCTTCCTGTCTTATCTCCCAGCATTTTGCATTTATGATGACAGTGAAAATATCTGCGGACCAGTCTGCAGATAATGATGTCCGCGTCACCTTGGCTGGGCCACAGTTCTTAGCGGCCTGGCTGGCAGCTCCATCACGATGTGGTCATCCTCCGTCTGGGGAATCCCCTGCGGCCAGGACCCGTATTTGCCTAACGACCCGGTCTGTGCGCTCCGATGACGCTGAAGTGGGAGGGACTGGTGTATTCTGACAGCTGGCGTCAGGAAACTCTTACCTCCTTGGAGTCCTCCGGTTCTTCCTGGAGTGCCAGCCGCGCCCACAGGACCACGCGCTCTGCAGTTTTCACGGCCTCGGCGGGAGGCAGAGACCTCAGCAGGAGGAGACCCTCCTCACCCTACACGGTGTTGGGAGGGAGGGAAAACAGCGGCACATGCAAAGGACTGCTGACAGCTACGCCCTTCACGTCTACGTGACAATGAAAAGACATCACTGTGAGAACTACACTAGGGGCCCGTTTATTTGAATCTGAAAATTCTGTGCCATTGGCAAATGCCTTGTTATAGAAATAAATATAGACATAGATACAGGTATATAGATACTGGCATATATAGATACTGGCATATATAGATACTGGCATATATAGATATATAGATATAGCTAGATATAGCTATATAGATATAGATATATAAAGATTAGATATAGTTATATAAGTATGGATATATAAAGATACAGGTATATAGATATATAAAGATATAGATATATGTTGTTAAGTGCCATCAAGTCATAGGTGACTCATAGCGACCCTATGAAGAAAAGTCCTCAAAACTTGTGTGATTTTTCATCCTTTCTCCAAGTTCATAGTGTTACCGGAGGGCAAGCTATTATGGAAGTGGATGCCACTCCCACTTTCAAGCTTGTTTTTATCGGGGAGCTCCACCAAACACTGTCCACCATGGGTAACTTTTATTTCAGTTGACGTATCACTGTCAGATATAGATATATAAATATGTGTGTGTGTGTGTGTGTGTGTGTGTGTGTGTGTGTGTGTGTGTGTATATCTCGTCAATGTGTACCATGGAGTCAGAATTGACTCATAGTTGACCCTCCAGCCAGTTTTCAGAGGCAATAATTATATGGGAGGAGAATGCCCCCGCTTCCTTGAAGCACCTGGTGGATTCAAACCATGTGCCTTGGGATTGGCAGCGCAGCTTCTTACCACTAGGCCACCAGTAAAGAGAGAGAATATAAAGACGTGTGTGAATCCCAGCAGACCCCTACCTTCTACACTGAGATCAAAGGGTCACGCAACGTCTATGTAACATGAGCCCGAGTGTTGTGAACCACCAAGGACGTGAGAGCAGCACCGGCTTGGTATGAAACCCTTCTGAAGAGTCGGTAAATATGAAAACACAGGGGCCCGTCTAACCTCTTGGTACAACTTTGATTTGCATACGCCTCTGCCTGGATGGTGTGATTGTTTTCGAGGATCTGGAAAACGAAACAGCGCGAGAGGACGCTGTGACCCCAGCATACCTGTTCTCTGTCAATCAGGTCGATTATCCGGAGACTGTAGATTTCATCATCAGACAGCATGTACGCTCGTGCCACCTTCAGCGCGTCCTCCAGGGAAGATGGGATGTCCTGCTTAAGGATGTACCTGATCACCCTCTGAAAGACAACACACAGCCTTTCTTCAGCTACTAAACCTCGGAGAAACCACGACCAAACCGCAACTCCAAGTCAAAGCCAGCCAGTAGGCCAGGCAGAACTGCCCCGCGGGCTCTGGACGTCGGGGGCTCCGTGCAAGCCACTTGTCACAGCTTCTCCCACGGGCCACCACAATCACTTCACTGCTGTGCCACCAGAGATCTCAAAACCAAAACCATTGCACTAAGAAACTAAACGGAATTAAAGACAAAAAGCTGATTTCTCTCTTGGGCTTAACGGCACTCCTGTTCTCTGTCTCTTTAGAGTTCTGGGTTTCTGGTAAAGACTAAGAATGAGGGGCTTTTGTTTGTGGTTAGTTTTTTAACCATTTTTTTACTGTGATCTGAGTGAAAGCTGGCAAGCACCTCGCAGGGGTGTTTCAATCAATCCCCTACACATCGGTTGTTCCCTGACGTTCATTAGTGCTCACGATGTCTGGGGAGTCCACTCGCGATCCACTGACCTTCCCTCCACTATCCCAGCGGGTGTGTGTAACCTATCAGTCTTCCACTAACCACTTCTATCCTTGGTAAACCACACTCGATTGAGTCTCCCTGTGTGTAACATTTCCTCCAGCTTTTTATAACATTCTTAACGTACTATTTGGGGGCCTTTTTGCACTAAGAAACAATGCAAGATTCTATATTGTACTATTCAACAAAGAGAACTTAAGGAGAATCTTGCCTAATTAACTTTTCAAAAATAAAACCCTCCAGCAATTTGCCCTGATGATGCAGAAACGGAATGAGGAGGAAGGGCTCTTGGACTGTGCCACGTACCATGATATCTTTGTTTAAGAGACTGAGTTCCCGGATTCCGTAGCCTCGTAGGAGCTTCTTAATTTCCATCAGTTTGTAACTTTCCTGTAACACCTTGACTCTACAAGCAAATGTGTGGATATTAACGTAGCCTGTCCTTTTAATACCATGGAACAAAGCAAACGAGTTGATACCATAAATCAACTCGTTTCAAAACACGAGGCTTATTCACGGACCTACACACCCGTATACACGCAAGCACACGCACACACAAGTGCACAGACGGTCAGGCTACGGTCATCTTACTTGGGATGGTCCATTTCCAGATGCTGCTTCACCAGCTGCTCCACAGCAGAGCTCCAGGGCACCACGGCTGTGTACATGATCTTCAGGACGGCATCAAATATGAGCTGCACAGAGACGCATCGGCAGCCCACATGAACCAGGGTGTAGATCTCAGGGCTTAATTAACATAGATACTTTGTTTGAAAATGTTTAACTTCCTACACCCATATTTATTGCTGCTTTGTTCACAATAGCAAAGAACTGGAAACAATCCAAGTGTCCACCAACAAATGAATGGACAGAGAAGCTGTGGTGTATTCACACAATGGAATATTATGCTGTACTAAAAAACAAAGAACTCATGAAATATTATACAAAATAGGTGACCCTGGAAGATATTATGCTGAGTGAAATATCACAGTCACAAAAAGACAAATAGTACCACTGTTGTAAAACAGGACTGACAGGGGGCTTGGAGGGAAACTAAGAAAAGAGGGGATAAATAATGTACATGGCATTGAAATAGACGAGGGAGAGACTGTATAAAAGGAATATGTGATCAGGTAGTATTGGTATGACAAAATCCAGAATAAGAGCTGCATAGTAAAGTGGTCTGAGCGGGGAACTGTGTAACAATGAGAGAACTTTTTTCCCCCAAAGAAAAAAGAGAACTGGGGGAGAGGAGGGGCAGCGAGGAAAATGTGCAACAATGAATGAATAGAAATTCAAGTTCTTTACAAACTTACAATAAAATCTCAGTTAAAAAAAGAAAATATTTAACTTCTATCTGCAAAGGCATCTAGTTCTTCCAGGTACATCTCATTAAGTGTAATATTATTATTATTATTATATCACTATTATAAATTTATTATTATTATTATTATTATTATTATTATTATTAAAACATTAAGTATTTCAATATTATTACTATTATTATCATTTCAAACAGTGAAGAAAACTAAGTTCGCTGCTCAGAGCTAAGTCATGGTGCTTTGTTACTGTGTCTCTAATGTAAGTGTTTAAAACTATTTCTCATGGGTAATTTCTAGTTAAAAATTGTGAGGAATTACGGTGTGAAATCAAAACACGTGTATCCAGGTATACCTCAAGTTACTGAGCTTCCCTTTGGTAAATACTGTGGTTGTTACACGTTGTAGGTCTTCCGGCAACTGTGTCAAGCAAGTCTATTGGCATCATTTCCCAACAGCACATGCTAACTAAATCTCCGCCACGTTACGGCCCTTCTCGGATTCCTTCAAGCATCCTCCTCAAGCTAGTCCACACTTAATAAACTACTGTTGTTGCTACATGTACCGTCAGGTTGGAACCAACCAATAGCTGATCCTCCGGCGGGTTTTCAGAGGCAGTAAAGCTCACGGGAGAAGAATGCCCATCTTTCTCCCACTAGGTGGTGGGTGGACTCGAACCGTGCGCTTTGGGTTGGCAGCCCGACTTCTGATCACTAAGCCACCAGAGGTGGGAACCGAAGAAGCCATGTTTTGTTTTGTTTTGATACTGGCTTATTTACAAAGTGAATGAATACACTACTTTTCATCACACCGGATCTTTCCCATTTCCTTCACACACCCCGTCCCCCATCAAATCGTGTGACTCTATGATTGACACCCCCCTCATCCTCAACTCTGCTCCCCTCGCCCCTCCTTGGGTCCTCATACTCGTTCTACAGCATTTTATACAGTCGTTTTATCCAGTATCTGTCTTTACGAGACTGACTGAATTCACTCAGTGTAATGCTCTTCAGTCCCTCGGGCGTTAGGCAGTAATTTTCAAAAGCATGGCTCCTGCGAGCTGCGTAGTATTCCATTGTGAATGCACCGTAATCCCAGAAGCCGTTTTTCTATTCTGTAATATAGACACGCTTGTTCATGTTCACACTGTATAACTAGGTTTATGCTGATAACTATATTACACTGTAAACAGGACTTTTACAGGCAGTGACAAACAAAAAAGAAATTTGTTTGACTGTCTTTATTGTAGTGCTCTGGAAATGAATCCGTACCATCTCCAAAGTGTGCCTATGTTACAAGATATAAAAAAAAGTCTCTTCCCAGAGGCACACAGCTCGAATCCACCAGATGCTCTGCCGGGGAAGGAGGGGCAATCTCCTCCTGTACCAGTCAGATCTGATTTGATGGTACATGCACACAAAAATAATAAAATAATAAAAAAAGGGGAAAAAAGTCTCTGGGGTTTAGAATCATAAAAAAAAAAAATCTATCCAACAGCCCATGATGGTCCTGAGCAGAAGCTGAGCCCCCCCTGGGCACTTTCTAGAATTAAAGCGGATCAGCCGTAGGTAGATTGTACTATTTTCTTTCTTTCTCACGCTACACACACTCTTAGCAATCATGCTGTGCTGACGGTCAGAACAAAGCTTTAAGACGATGCTCATGGGAGTGGGGTCATCTGGAAGAGGACAATGAGGACGGACGTCTAACGTGACTAAGACTCTCGGCGTCACTGAATGGGACGTGCTTTGCTATGCATATTCGCAACACACAGAAGAAAGTCCACAACAAAAAGGTCACAGATGTGTTAGGAGAAGCTCCGAGGGGAGCATCGTACAGTGATGATTTACTTACATCCGTGTCAGACAGGCACCGAATGACGGCCATGGCTTTGGCCTCCCAGGCCGTTTCAAAGAGGGACGCAGACTTTGAGCTACATCGCTCCAACAGATCCTAGAAAAGACAGAACACATTGTCTGTTTTTTAAAAAAATCCATTTTTTTTTCCTCTAACTTAAAAAATAAACACATACCTACACACATAGGTCAGGAGGCAGACAGCCAGATAGACAGATTTTATGGACATGTTAAAAAAACAAAAGAATTCAAGAAGCTGCGCTGCAATATCAGAGGCGTGCAGTTCGAATCCACCAGATGATCTCCTGGAGAAGGAGGGACAATCTCCTCCTGTACCAGTTAAAGTCGATTTGACGGTACACACACACAAAAATAATAAAGTAAAAAAAACCAAAAACACCAAAAACCAAAGAATTCTAACTGTCATGAAAGTTGAACAATGACTGAAGAAAGCCAAACTGCCCACATGTTAGCCTTCAGTGTCTACACGGCAGAAAACACTGATGGAGGAAGCATTCTGGAAGAATCTGTAAATGGGATCGCTGCAGATTACTAAAGTTACGGCTGCCACGAAGGGCTTGTGACAGGCCCAGGCTGGAGCAACCCACTGTATCGAATTACAGTGCTGGCAAAGATAACAGTTGTACCTAGTGAGCTCACACTCCAGGTGTCTGATGACAACCCGTCTGTTGTTGTTGTTATGTGCCATCGAGTCGTTTGCTACTCATAGTGACCCTATGTACAACAGCCCTAAACGCCGTTCTATCCTGTGCCAACCTCACTGTCTCAAACACATTCATTCCCACCATTCCACTCACAGAATCAATCCATCTCATCAAAGGACTTCCTCTCTTTCGCCGCCCCTCCAACCTCCCAAACATGATGTCCCTCTCCAAGGACCAGTCCCTCCTTGCAACATGCCCAAAGTATGTCAGACGAAGCTTCAGAATCCTTGACTCCAGAGGACATTCTGGCTTCACCCTCTAAAGGACACACCTGTTTGTTCTCCTAGCAGTCCATGGTATATTCAACACTCTTCTCCAACACCACAGCTCAAACCCATCTAGCTTCCTTTATAATAGAAGCTTTCAAAGGTCACAGAACATGCTCAAGGTCACCAGTGACATCCCACCTCCCTTCTCAGCCAGTACCCTATGCTGCGGACATCTTAAAGGTGAAGCCTGGCACTGCTCAAGGAGTGAGACGTTGACCTGAGCCGTTCCCTGCGTCAGGTCAGGACACACGCCTCCGTCCAGGCACAGAGTTACCTCGATGTACAGTAAGAGAAGCTCCTCCTCCTGCAGGTCATGCTCCCGCATGTAGACGCGAATGTACTTGTCTAACGTGACAGGGATCAGTTCCGGCGCCAGCACCTTATCAAACATGCGGAACACGATGGTGGTCGTATTCTCCTGACGGCCAGAAGAAAGGTGGCGTGAGGGCTACATGCGGCCACAGCCACGGCAGCCACAGACCAAACCCTCGGCAAGAGCCCCGCCTTTCACCTTCTCAAAATCAGACAGGGTCAACTTGCAGTTATATTTCCTGTGCAGTGTGATCAGTTCTCGCAAGTTATTCACCAGCGTCCTTAACTGGCACACCTCCTCTGAGTTTTGATAATCCTTCTGCAACGAGAAAGGTTAAAGTTGTTTAGAATACACCAGCTGGTCAACAGTGACCTTAACAGCAACATGAGAAAGGGACCTGGTCAATGGGTCAATAGGGATCTTAACACCAGCATGAGAAGGAAGCCTGATAGGGAAACTAGATTAATGGAAACAGACCAACCAGAACAGAAACAATGGCAGTGCTGATACATCGTAAAAACGCTACCAGTGTTGCTAAACAGGTGGTGTTTAAAAAGTTGTTGAATGGGAGTTTAAATTGTGGTGTAAATGTTCACCAGAAAACTATTAAAATATTATGTTTTAAAGTAGACAGAATTGTCAATACTTTCAAAACTAAGTCTTACTCTTTGAGAAGCATTCAGAAACACTGCTAATGTGGAAAGTATCTAGGATGCTATTGAGGAATATGTTCATCTATCACTTCTGGTTGTCTCAAAGAGCCCTGGTGGTGTATGTAGCATGTTACATATTGTTCTGCTAATCCAAAGGTTAGTGGTTCAAGTCTAGCAGTTTCTCTATGGGAGAGAGATGGGCAATCTCCTGTCAAGATTTAGCCTCAGAACTCTGCTAGAGGGTCACTAGGGGTCAGAAACTGACTTGATGGCCGTTGGCCTGATTTGGGTTCACTGGTTCAACAGAAAAATACAATGTCGTAAAACAGGTTCAAGTTAAAACAGAAATATTAGAAAAGTGTTCCTTCTTGTTGATTCCAAAAATGCACAATAAAAAGGATATTCAAAACGGAAAATAAAATAGATGGACCTATTCCTAGATACTTTTCTTTGTAGACAACTCCATTACCATAAGGTGAATGTACTTTACGATTAAGGATTTCTTCTCTGTATCTTACCAAGGAGATCCAGTGCCAAGAGGACACCAATCCCAAACCATTTTGTTTCTCGGCCGTAAAAAAGACCTCTGCCAGCTGAAGCCCGTTTTCTGGCCAGTTTGCCTTTAAAACATATTAGATACCATTAAAAGCCATGCTTTGTGCCATGGGGAACATGTAAATGTCTTCAGTGTTAAACATACAGATGTTACCTTATCAGTTAATTCCAGGTTTCTGGCTGCTTGCTCCAACCACTTTGCAAGAATTTTCTGAAACAAACAAAACATTTGAAGAGGAAATATTCAATAGATAACCCAGAAAAAAAAAATAAAATATATATAAAATAAGACTCTTCAAAGTGATATAGGGGAAAAGGATGGATGGCAAGGGTAAACACGGAGGAGTGAGAAAACACTGTTACACTGTCATCAATAAATACCACAGAGCGCAGATGAGCTGTTTAATGAAAAACCAATTTTCTCTATCAAATTTCATCCCCTTATCAGTAAAAAGCTAAATAAAATAGATGTTTGAGAGAACTAGCTGGTGTGAACGTGACATAATTTCCAGGAATCTAACACACGCATATTTTTTTCTTAAGTCCACAGAGCGGAAACACGCAGGGCGGCTCACCTTTCCTTCGGGCACCGTCTTGTGGACGAAAGGAATCAAATCCTTTTTAAGCCACGGACAGAGGTTTTGCAGAGAGAATGGAGTGGAAATGGAGTTGAGCAAGTTCTCAAGCATCTTCACGTCAAACGTGCTTTCAAAGTTGGCCTGAATTACACAGAGGGAGAAGTTAAGAGTTATCCAACAAATTCAAATGAAGGGACCTTCTTTGAAAAGGAAAAGCTTCCATTGCAAGTAATTGCGAGAAATGTCTTAGTGATATGAACACAGATTGCACGAATGCTGTGACTATAGGACTCCCTGAAGCCAAGTGCTGAAGAATCGAGGGATGACCTGGAAGAAGCAGCAAAGACCCCACTCTAAGGAATACTGAACAGGGAATGATGGAGAAACTCCTAACAACAGTGTAACCATTAAGGGCTTGATACAAGACAGCACTTAAAACCTTAACAAGAAATTTAGAGGGCAATCCCTGGCACAATCTGAGCTCAACAGTAACATCTACCTCATTGGTAACACTGTGTATCACTTAATCAAATGTTGCCTCTTGAGCAAAACTTATGAGTCAAATAGACCCTTACTGAAGCTATAAAATAATTTACTAGATAGAGTATCCACTCTTACACCTAACATCATCAAAGCACAGTTTTCTATGGAAAAGGTTATTATGTGTAACAACCAAACCAAACCCACTGTTCCCAGCGACCCTGAAGGACTGAGTAGAAGTGCCCATAGGGCTTCCAAGGCTGTGATCTGCGTGGGGCCAGGCTGCCTCGTCCAGTCTTTCAGTCAGCAGTCCAGCACTTAACCACACGAAGCCATCATGGCCCCTTCATACTTCCTCAGGCAATCTGCAATAGTCTATTCTCCAACCACACTTGGCAGTATCTGATGGGTTTCCACACTGACTCCTTCACTGACTCCAGGAGTTATAAAGGCATTAGGAAAAGCAAGACTAAGCGTCTATTACCCGGTGTCTGAGCCACAGGTACTGTGCGCAAACAAGGTTCCCTTCTCTCAGTTGTAAAAGAATATTCTTGAGGTCATCTTCATTTTTCAGAAAGTCAATCCAAGAACTACCACTGTGAGGTTTAAGAGAGAGAACGTCATTGAAAATGAATTCTTTAATTAAGGTTAAGCCTTACAAAGGTTATCAAGATGTTGTTATGTGTCATCAAGTCGCCTGCGACCCAGAGTGACCCTCTGTACAACAGCTTTGAAGCTGGCCCTGTCCTGAGCCAGTCTCACTGCCTCTGACACACCTGCTCCCATTACCCCAGTCACTGTATCAATCCACCTCCTCCAGGGTCTTCCTCTCCTGCACCATCCCTCCACCCTTCCAAGCATGATGTTCTTCTCCAAGGACTGGTCCCTCCTGGCCACATGCTCAAAGCACGCGAGCCAGAGCTTCAAAACTGACCGGCCTCTTTATCAGGATACGCTAGAAACTAAGTGACCAGGGCTGTTGGAAGCCATCGCGGGAGGGTAACTAAGAGCGGAGGTGGATGGATTTCTCTACCACAAATGACAGACAAGCGGAAGACTCGGCCTTGCCTGTGACAGAAAGGCCGTTTCTCATTGCCCCACCCCCCTGACAACACAGAAAAAGTCAGAGAAATCCTCCAGGTTCCACGTCATTCAAAACATCATCTCATTATTAAAAAGGAGAAAGGTACCAACCGGAATTGTTCTGACCCAAAGGCTCCATAGAAAGTTGTCAATTTTGCATGAGCTTTTAGTACCTAAAAAAAAAAATCAAAATATTATCATGTGAATGATGGGGGGCAATAATAGTAAAAAAAGATTTCAAAATTAGGTACTGTTCCCAAAGTCAAACACCTCCTTTTATCCCCTATTTCAGGCCAATTCCCATAACCATTCTGACTCAATATTGACTCAGTCAGCGAGAAGCGACCGTCTCTGTGGGGTCTCTGAGGCTGTAAGCCCTGTGGAGGCAGAACCCCACATCTTCAGGGCAGGGCAGCAGTCACTGGTGGGTCTGAACCACCAACCTTTCAGTCGGCAGACAGATGTTCCCAAACTGTGCCGCCAGGGCTTCTTTCCGAAGTAATAACTTTCCCCACACCTATTGTGTGCTGTATAAGTATAATGCAATTACCTCTTTTAACCCATCAGAATAGACAGGAACATTTTTCTCTTCCTTCTTCAAAAGCTAAGATGAGCAATAAAACATAGTTAGGTTGTGGAATATTTTTCACAGGAGGCAATAAGATTTTCTTCGAATTGTCCTTGAAATAATCATCTTTAAAAGTGAAATTTGCACTCAAATCTGAAATCAACAGCAAATAGTTGACACACACACACACACACACACACACACACACACTCTCTCTCTCTCTCTCTCTCTCTCTCTCCATGCTTTTAGGCACATTTCATGATAAAACCTCTTACCCTCTGTGCGTTCCTTGATGTTATCAGATGAGCATTAGCAATGGGACACACAGGAACCGCGCACAGGCAAAACACATACAATGCAATCAAGACCCACAAGGGAAAAGGGATTCCCTTTTTTTTTTAAGAATGATTTTTAATGGAAGCTCTGGTGGCCTAGTGGCAAGAAGTTGCACTGTAATCCCAGAGGTGAGCAGTTCAAATCCACTAGATGCTCTGCTGGAGAAGGAGGGGCAATCTCCTCCTGTACCAGTCAGATCTGAGTTGATGGTAAACACACACAAAATCATAAAGTTTAAAACAATTGGGGGGAAAAAAGAATGATTTTTATTAGCATAAAGACAAATTTGCACTTCCCAGGCTTACTGGTCTAACAGAGACATGAGAAACTCTCAGACTGTGGTCGTCTGCCGTCCTTCACATCTCGACCCACCTCATACAGCTCATCTCTCAGCCAAATCGGAGACAGGCCTACAAGGCGAACCTGACACCAGGAGGCAACCACACTTTAACCAAGTGTTAGGATCAAGAGGGCAGCATGCGCCCTGGGTGGCACCCGGAAGACATGGTTAGGACAGAGGACATGGAGTCACAGGAAGGAAGGCAAGAGCATGACAGCATCACCGGTACTGTTAATTCATGTTATAATGGAAAACCAATTTGCTCTGTAAAAAACTTCCAGTCAAATCACAATTAAGGAAGAAAAGAAAGACCACCCTGGACAAGCACAATGGGGACGTACCCTGGTTTTGGCGTAGTTGAGCATTTCCTGCGTGGTTTCGTAGGTGAGCCAGTGCGTCTTCAAGCAGTAATTCACCACAAAGTCATCATCCTGTTTCAGAATCGTGGACAGTGTAAGGCCCTCTCGGTCAGCCCTGCCCACCTGAACGCTCTCTCTGGGGCAGGGGAAGCACACCTGGATTTTGTGCAGGTTCCCCTTCGCTTCCTCCACGAGCGCCTGCCATTCCGTCTGCTCGCCGCCGTCCGCAGAACACAGCGCCAGCTTCTCCAGCAGGTCGTTTGATTTCACCTTGTACACAAGCTGTAAGGTAACCAGGCCACGTCAAGCAACTCAGTGCTCAACTCTGTGAAGATGATTTCTCACGTTTACACAGCAAACTGCACGAGAGACACCATTAAAAAAAGGGCAATTCTTCCTCAAACCAGCAAAGAAGATTTTAAGTCTATAATCTTAGATAAATGAAAGCTAATCTAGTTGATTAAAGTTACAGAAGAAATCACCTCTACTAAATCAAGCAATATACTAACAGCTTATTTTGACTCAGTAGAGAAGTCACCATGTAGGCCGCATCACAGCCCGCTGGGGTAATTACTGACACACATTTACCAGGGAGAATATGGGCACTTGAGACAGGCCAGGCGAGGAGTCTGGAAGGAGGTAGCTTAAAGGCGTGCAGCTAGGGCTATGTCTGGGTACATATGAGGCCACTATGAGGTTTCAGGCCCAATTTTCCAAGCCTATCAAAGATTCTTTCAAAAATGAGACCCAAACCCTTGCCACTGACTAGATTCCAACCATGGGACCCTGCAGGATACACGAGAACTTGCCATGTGAGTTCCACAGGTGTCAGTCTTGACCCAGGTAGATTGCAACACGTCCACCCCTGAGGAGCAGGTACGTGTGAGCGGCCGCCTTTGCTCAGCTCAGTGACGCCTTTGCTCAGCTCAGTGACGTAACCACTGCGGAGCCCAGGGCTCCTTCTGTCCTACTCCCAGTCGGTTCTTGCACTCACTTTCTGTTTTTTTTCCCCTTCAATTCACTATTTTTCAATGCTCTCTCTCTCACTGCTGCAGCGTCGGAATTGACGCCTAACACACCTTCCGCTGGCTTGCCACGGTCGTGAACAAGGAGGAAATTGCTCATCTTGTCTGGCCAAACTGCTGGCAGATAGACACCACTTTAGGGCAAGCAGTACCACTTAAAATATCACTAAGCTATGTCAGCTGTCCAAACACTGGCACAAATCCCCGCATCTTATCACAAAGCCCACGCACTGAGGCATGGGAGCAACACAGCGTGAGCCTCCTTTATCTCCCTGGCAGACAGCATGCTTGCTTTGGGGCCGTGGGGCGCCGCTTGGTGGTCAGTGGCCAGACTCCCCCGGCTGCTCCACAGGACAGAGCCGGGCAGCTGCCTTCCTCGAGGCTGCCGCCCTCGGACACCCAAAGGAGCATCGCTGTGCGTTACAACCGGCGGGACAGCACTGGGGGTGGGTTTTCGTTTGGTCTTGTTTGCTTGGTTTACTGCCCAAGAAGCCCCGGCTGGTGGTTAAGCACACTGTTGTTGTTGTTGTTGTTGTTGTTGTGTGCCATCAAGTCGCTTGCGACTCATAGTGACCTTATGTACAAGAGCCCTAAACGCCGTTTTACCCTGTGCCAACCTCGCTGTCTCAAACACACTCATTCCCACCACTGCACTCACAGAATCGATCCATCCCATCGAGGGTCTTCCTCTCCTGTGCTGTCCCTCCACCCTCCCAAACATGATGTCCTTCTCCAAGGGCTGGTCCCTCCTTGCAACATGCCCAAAGTATGTCAGACGAAGCTTCAGAATCCTTGACTCCAGAGAACATCCTGGCTTCACCCTCTCCAGGACAAACCTGTTTGTTCTCCTAGCAGTCCATGGTATATTCAACACTCTTCTCCAGCACCACAGCTCAAAGGCATCAATTCTCTTTCAATCATCCCTAATCACTATCCAATTGTCTGACACATAGCATGTAATTGCAAAGACTTAGTGATCTGCTGATTAACTGGTCAGGAGGCTGGTGGTTAAGCACTTTAGTGATGTGCTAATTAACTGGTCAGGACTGCAGCCCTGCAAACCCTCCAGGGAAGTTCTACCCCACCCTCTGAGCACGATGAGTTGCCATCAGCTGGTTTGTAATTCTTTTTATCAACTATTATGCATTAAACAGAACTTCATGTTTTTCATGCCATTACTTTCATTATTCGTTCATTTAAGTTTCTAAGTACATAGAATTATTTCACGTGTCTTAGAACATTTTCTTTTCAAAACCACCAACGCGTTGGTATGCGGCACCCAGGGAGGATGTCCTCACTCACTGCTGAAGGAAGGCGAGGACACACTCGGGCTTACCTCCACGTCCAGTCCAAACTGGATGGCGAAGCTCTCAGCTTCAGCAAAGCGGTGTTTGTGGAGCAATCGGCTCAATCTGAGAAAACGGGGAAAGACATTCCAAGGGGATGTTTATGAGTCAGGGAAATCGAGTCTTTCACCAAGGGTTAAGGCTCAAACAAAACGAAGTCACCTGTTTTCTGGTAAAGCTTCTGTAAGACATCGAAGCACCAAGACGGAGGCCGAGTCCTCCGAGAGTCTGAAACAAGAACTGCCCTGTCAACACACCTGTCCCTCATGGTAGCCACGGCAGGTGAACCCCACCCTTAGCAAAGCTTAGTGGGACCTACTTGGGATTGTCTTTGCAAATGCCCTCCAGGAGGTATATTGTATCCTGTGGAACAGTGACAGCAGCAAGGTTAGAATCCAACATACGAGTCACGCCTTTTAGAGTCAACTGATTCAGATCGGATGTGTCTATCAGCGGATTCTGAACAGTTGTTAAAAAGCCTCACCTCTACTGAAGGGGAAGCACTCTGCCTGCAGTTTCAAGACAGGCCCACAGTAATTACAGAGGTGACGCTGCTGTGATTGTGCACAGGTGGGCGCGGTTCGAACCCACGAGCTCTCACACCACGCTGACGTGTCTGCTACTCCTGAGCCCGCTCACGTACTGCTAAGCAGGTGTGCAGGGAGCAGCCGTCTCGCTTCCATGAAGCTCAAATGGAAGTGGACGTCACAGGGCGTTTAAGCGGACACTCACCACGACTGGGAAATATCCATGTACAAGTGCGTCCTTCAAGCTCAAAGCCGTGGTGTCCCGGGCTGAGCTGTCACAGGCGGATTTCTACCTGTGTCAGACGTCCATGCCCGTAACCCTTGCCGTTCAGAGGTCAGCTGTGTCTGCAACAGCGACGTCTGGCGTGGCCGCCTTCCCCAAGTCCTCACCATTGCCACGACCCATGCAGGACACGTGGCCATCACGGGTCCCTTCCCGTTACAGGACCCAGCAGTACTGATGTCGCATTCTGTCTCAACAGCTGACTGAGAATAGGATGGGACACTAGGACGAATCCAAACTGGAGGGAGGCTGGGCAACACTGGCCCAAGCGCTGAAAAGAACACCAGTGTCAGAAAGCACACCGTCCCAGACAACAGGCCGCAGGAGGGACAGGACGGGGCCTGGCCACACAACAGTGAAACGTTTCAGCTGCTGACCGAAACCACTGGGTGATCTACCGCCATTAATATCACTGCCTGGGAAGCCACGCGGGCCATAATCCCCTCGGTCCTTAAAGGACGAGGTCAACGGGCACTGACTCAACGGCCACTAACAGCGACGTGACAACTAACTGTAACATGGCGGTCAGGCTGGAGAAAAGTAAAATGTGAACCTGGATGGCACAGTTCACAAACGTTCTGCACTAATACCAACATTTCTGAGTGTAGGAACTACAAAGAACGCTCTCACGCTTACTGAAGTGTGGGGGTGACACGTCACGAAGCCTGGAAGTAACTCTTCAAGGAGTCAGAAAAACACATGTCCATGTATATATAAAAAGTTATGCAGCAATTATAGGAAAAAACTCGCGTTTTCCTCAAAGTCCAGAATTAAACCATTAGGAAACAAAGCCCTCAAACACATTCATCTCTCTTTCCAGTAAGACCGGCAGTTGAACAAGCAGCTGACTGATGTTAACCCTCAGAGGCTTTTCCTTCCCTTTATCACAAAGGCTGACCCTGGGCAGGCGCACCTGAAGAGTTTCCAGAAATGGTAAGCACAGTCAGAAACCTGAACTCAGTGCACGTAAGCAATTTGGTACCATTTTCGCTTCTTTTGCTTAACCTTTTAAATGATAATGTATTTTGGAAACACAGAGAAACTTACTGAGCTAATTCCCATCCGGGCCAGTGAAGAAACACCAGAGACCTCCAAGGAATATAGGATTTCCATTGCAGGTAGTGTATAAACGGCGAGATTCTTCATCTGAGAGAGACAGGAGAGCAGTTAATGCAGTCTATCAATATCAAGGCACCAGCTGCCTGACTTGCTCTCCGGCAAAGCCAAATGCAAAAAATAACTTCCTAATAGGAATGTCACTAAAATATTACAGATAAAATGACGGCTCTCCTACCTTGTTAAATTGCCCGAAGGAAAGCTATGTAGTCACAGCCCAATGTGGAGTGTGTACTGAGGGAGAATGCTAACGCCTCATATCAGAACAACAAACTCTAATATATAACCAGTTCACGGCCTTTGAAATGCTGTCTAAAATGAAGGGGCTGAGTACAGAGACCAAAGCTCATCAGTGCTACCAGAATGGGCGAGAAGGAGAAAGGGAGGAGTTACTGCGTCAAGAGTTTCGAATTTCTTTTAATATTGATGGGGGGAGGGAAATCAGGAACTAAATGGTGCTGGAGCCTTGTGTTAAACACAAAGCTTCTGACTGACAGACAGCTCAGTGACGGAATCCCCCGAGCCGCTCCACGGGAGGGAGGCGAGGCTGCGTGGTCCCTTTAAGACCGAGCGCCTCGGAAACCCGGTGGGCAGTTCTGCTGTGTCCTACCGGGTCCCTGGGGTTTGGGACACTGAGGAGCATGTCTGTGACAGCAGCAGGTGGGACGTTGGTGGAGTGGAATCCACATAGGCAGTGTCACAGAAAAGAGCTGAAATGTCAATGGTTTTCACACGTACATCCTACCAGAATAACATCTAAACATTTAGAGCTTAGTTTACACTCTTTTTAAAGAGGAGAGGAAAAAAACCCTAGCTCTGTAGGATTATTTCTCGTTTGTCAGGAGGACAAAGTGCTGATAAACCAGGGATGTGACTTAGTGTGCCTTCCTAAACTAGTGAATGTTGGCCTCTCAAACTTAAAACGGACAAACACAAAATAAAATGAGCCGATACCTTTCTGTTGGCAGGAGCTGTCAGAGCTACCAGTTTGAGATTTGTCATTCCTTGCCTAAAAGAGAAGAGGAGCTTCAAGTGAACGATGTCAGCTTCGGCAAGAGCTAGGGAACGGAGGCAAGTTCACACAGTGTGACCGCATTACCGCACAAACGTGAAAGCGACTACTTGGCCCGACTCAGAGGACTACATATGGGCTCACTCGGCACCTCCGATACTCAACAGCATGGGCAGGTCAGCAGAGACGTGTGGTTGTCACTGAAGTGACGGCCAGCGTCACAGCACACCTACCACGTGACCGACGACGGGGAGTCGGCTTCGGTGGTGAGAAGAAACTCTTCAATGTGCAGAGCCGGCCAGTTCCACACGGGGGTCAGGGTGTAGATGTCCCATAAGCTCAGCACGTTCTGCACGAGAGGCACAGGTGTGTGTTTCACTCACGTACATTGTGTTTCACACAATCCTTCATTCATTGTGTTTCCTAAAAGTAATCACCATTGTCCTCTGCCCACCTCCAGTCCATCTGAAGAGGTGCCCACTGGATTCCCTGCAACCACGGAGTTCCGCCCCGCCCACCTTCAGACCCTCAGCTCCCCTCCCCATCTCCACGAGGACTTCCACACATATCCTTGTCCTGGGTACATGTTTGTCACAAAAAAGGGATTCGATGAAAACGTATTGGGAGAATGATCATAAACATACTTCCGTATCAAGCACAAACAGTAGATTTTCAATGAGCTGGAACTTCTTTGCACCTACAAAGGAGAAAGCAAGATGTCCAGGAATTATATCTCAGTGCCATACACAGTCACCTTAACTCTAAAATTTGTGGAAAAGTGGAATTACATTTCAACAAAAAGTTAGTAGCCGCCCCCTAAAAACTCACTTCATCATTTATTTTTGCCACATTTGTTTTCAATGTGGTCTCTAAACTGTAAAAAAAACCAAAAAAAAAAAACCACCCCAGGTTGAAAAGTCATCTGTGGCAATGGGTCAACTAAAACGGACTTTCAAGGAAAAAAAAAGAGAGGAATAGACTGGGGTGGGGAGGTAGAGAAAATAGTGCAACAATGAATGAATTGAAATCCAAAATCTCTGTAAATGTTCATTAAAATTAATAAAATAATTCAAAAAAATTTTTTTAAAAAAAGAAAAGTCAGTGTCCACTTATAGCAACCAAGAAAAATCACCCCAGTGGGTCCCCAAGGCCGGAGCCGTCACAGAGGCAGATGGCCATGTGTCTGTCTCAGAGAACGCCTGGTGGGTTAGAACCACTGATCTTTCAGTTACCAGCTCCATGCCAACCACAGAACCACTCGATTCCCACTGTAAAGCAGAATGACATGAAGATGAAAACCCACCGATAATAATAAAATAGACCCACTCATTAATTATTATTTGGTGAAGAAAAAAAAAGTTTATCTTAAAGTTAAATGTAAGAAAGCAGTATGTTTAATTACTTATATAAGAAGTCCTAGAAGCACAAAGGTTAAGGGCTTGACTATTAACTAAAAGGCTAGTGGTTCAAACTCCCAGGCTGCTTCTCGGGAGAAAGTTGAAACCATCTGGTTTCACAGAGATTAGGGCCTTAGAAATTCTAGGGCAGCTCCATTCTGTCCTACAAGGTCCCTACAAATTGGAACTGGCTCAGTGACAATCAGTTGCATCTGACAGGTCACGCAGATGCACCAGGAGGGGCTGGTTCCCAGGAGAACGAGGCCGTAATGCCTAGCAGAGCAGACAGCCGGTGAAAAAGAGAGAAGGGGCCTCGCAGGAACTGGAAGGACAGGGTGCATGCAGAGTCCGTTCAAGCACGGCAGCGGCGTGAGGCCCTCTCCAGGAGCCACAAGCGTTCCTCTGTAGTACATGGGGACAGGGGTGGGGAGGTGGGGGGTGGCTGTGGGCTAGAGCCAGCTCACCAACACCTAACAGCGCGAGTGTGTGCACACGCGCGTGTGACTGCTGTATGACGTCAAGTCGGGACCCTCCAGTGGGTTTTCCGGGGAGGAGACTGCCCATCTTTCTCCTGTGGAGAAGCCGGTGGATTCCAACTGCTTGCCTTGGGGTCGGTGGTGCCATCTCCTTACTCTCAGGCCACCAGAGCCCAGAGTTCCTACATATTTACATGTACATTTATATCTATGTTGCTGTGTGACGATGAGTCGGAACCAACCCACGGCGGACCGTCCAGGGTTTTTCAGAGGCTTGAGGAGATTGCCTGTCCTCCTCCCGAGGAAAGCTGGGGGCCTCCAGCCGTGTACCTGAGGGAGGGCAGCACAGCCTCTTCCCACTGCGCCACCAGAGCTCCCTTATCGATGTCTGAAAAGCTTTCATAAAAGAGACCTCCCCTTACCTTTGATGATCTCTGAATCAATGAAATTCTTAATGACCAATTCTTTCTTGGAAATATCTGGCACCCATTTTGTGAACGCACAATTGCCAATTCCCTGAAAAAGGTCAACAGAGCGCCAATTACAAATTGGTTCCAAACTGCAAGGCAGCTGTTCATGACGGCAAAGACCACTCAGTGGTAGGGGAGCTCTGGTGGTCTAGTGGTAAGAAGCTGCACTGCAATCCCAGAGACGCATCGTTCGAATCCACCAGATGCTCTGCCGGGAAAGGAGGGACAATCTCCTCCTGTACCAGTCAGATCTGATCTGACGGTACACAGACACACACACACAAAATAATAATAAAAAAAAGACCACTCAGTGCACATCATGTTCCCCCTCTGGACTCTCCTCCTCCCACCTCGCCTCGCCTCTCCTCCCCACCCCCTCCTGCTCCCTCAGGTGCTGTGGGCCAGCAGAGACCTAGTGCTGCTGCTTGCGGGGCCCCTGCTAGCTCTTAACACTGCAGACACTATGATGATCCCTAGTAAACCTTCAGGTTGGCGAATGAAATCTCCCCTCTGGCTCCACTTTGAAACAATGCACATGTCCAAGAGCAACGCCAGGAAGGCATGTACTCCGAAGAACAAACAACCCTACAAGAGCAGGAAAGGAGTCTTTGCCCAAAAGCAAAGCTTAGAAGGCAGGAAAGGAAGAGGTACGGAAATGGGAACCCCAAGGAGGAAGCAGGAAGCCTGCTGTTCCATTGTGGCGATTACAACCCATGTCATGATGCAAAATGTGTGTGACTTATTGAATAGAGAGCCAACGGTCCCAGGAAACTTTCACGCAGAACGTGCAGGAATTACTAAACGGACAAGTGATCCGCTCTGCACCATTTCACCCAATTCAGAACAAAAGTGAAAAGGTACAAACAAAAAAATTACCCCAATTATTAGAGGGATTTCGCTTGCCAAGTCTCCAGCTGCAAGACTGAGACAGCCAAGGGTGTGGTAATTGTCAGCTGATATAAAACTGGACTTGATCTGCCCTTGTAACTGCAAAGTCAAAAAGGATCAAACAGCTTACACATAACATACATACTGTCAGATAACTGTTAGCAGAGACTGACTGATGACACAGTCCAAATCAACCAGCCGCGGATGCACTATTTAAATAGAACTGCTCTCAACGGTTGTTATCAAGATAATTCCTAAAACATATAAGTCAGATGATGAATTACATCCTGAAACACACTTCTGAATTCACAGGAAAAGTTTAAGGATGGCAATATTTGCTTACCTTTTTCGCTGTATTGAAGTCTGCATTCTCAATCGCTGCATTGAAAAAACACAAAACAAACAGCAAAACTGAGAATGGTAACGAGTCAGACTGGTAGCGTAAGAACATGAAATCGCAGTGGAAAGGGAACTCCTCCGAATTCAGTGAGGTGATACCGACTTTTCCGTTTTGCTCTCGGTCAATGACATGAGTCGTGAATACATTTCCTATCCGAGGTGCAGTCTGGCCAGCTGGTGGCCCTCCGTGCCTGTCAGCAGTCCCGAGCACATCTCCTCCTATGGAGAGGCCATCTACTAAGAGCTGTTGTGATGAAGACTTAGGCACGGCCGAGCCACGCCAGGGTATTTTTCATTTCCTCATATGCATGCGGACACTGGACAGTGAACAAAGAAGGCCCCAGAAGAATGGATGAGTTTGAATGACGGTATTGGCAAGGACTCCAAGACATCCCACGCGTCTTGAAAGGAGCATGGCACCTCAGCAGTGAGGGAGACGAGACTTATTAACAGAAAGAACTAGTCCCATGCACACCCATGTTTATTGCGGCTTGTTCACAATAGCAAGGAGTTGGAAACAACCTAAGTGCCCATCAACAAAGGAATGGATAGAGAAGCTGTGGTATATTCACACAATGAAATACTACGCTGCACTGAAAAACAAGGAACTCATGCAATATTATTCAAAATGGGTGACCCTGGAGGACATTATGCTGAGTGAAGAATTTCAGTCACAAAAGGACAAATACTGCATGGTGCCACTGTTGTAACACAGGACTGACATCGGGGTTGGGGGGAGACCGAGAAAGAAGGGTTCAATAATGTATACTGCATTGAAACAGACGAGGGAGAAAACTGTTTAATAGGGATGTGTGATTAGTTATTTTTGTCATGACAGGAGTCCAGAACAAAGGCTGCATAGTGGAGTAGACCTAGGAGGAGGGATTGAAAAACAATGAAAGAATTTTTAACTTTTCCAAGAGGGTGGTGTGCTGGGGGGGGGAGGTTTGGGAGGGGAGAAAAGCGCAACAATGAATGAATGGAAATCCAAAAAAAAAGAAAGAACTAGTCCCTACAAAGGGACATCACGCTTAGTAAAAGCAGAGGAAGGTAACAGGTTGGTGAAAAGGTGGATGACCATCAAGGAGGATTCACACGACGGTGCAAAGGTGCTAACCGAAAGGTCAGTGGTTTGAGTCCCCGACTTCCACCACGGGAGGAAGATGCGGCAGTCAGCTTCCGCAAAGACTGCAGCCCTTCGAAGGCCATGGGCATGTTCTGCTTTGTCTTGAGAATGACTATAAACAGACCTCACAGCACCAGGTTGGTTTTTTAGGAGCCGCGTGGAAAGGTCACTTCACTCAGGAGCCCCCAGCTGGCGCTCAGTGCGTTCTACTCATTAAGAACCATCTCCTCAGGGAGACGGTTTAAAACAAGCTTGGAAGCAGGAGTGGCATCCACATCCCAAACTCTATGAACCTGGAGAAACGAAGAAAGTTCTACAAGTGTTCAGGTCTTTCGTTCATAGGGTCGCTATGAGTTATCTACGACTCGACAGCACTTATCAAAACAACAACAACAAGAAGGAAGCTCTGGAGGCCTAGTGACAAGATGCTGCACTGAAATCCCAGAGGTACGCAGTTCGAATCCACCAGATGCTCGCTGGAGAAGGAGGGGCAATCTCCTCCTGTTCCAATCAGATCCAATTTGACAGCTCACAACAAGGGGAAAAAAACCCAAAAACACTGAGTGAACACAAGGCCCGAATCAGCTCCTCAGACAGAGCCCCAGTCCATGATCATCATGTTCGCTCCCACAGGCCACTGTACTGTATTATTAACAGCAACTCATTATCAGTGTTCACGTTCACTCATTTCACCAAAGAGCAGTTCTTCTTATGATAGTGTGTTGAGACTCTCCAACCAAGCTGCCCACTTGATGGTGAAAACCTAACTCATCTGTGTTGAGTCAAATTCAACTCACAGCACTATCACAGCACCCAGCTGAGGACAACTTAGAGACCCCTGAGCAACAGTTCCGAGTCTTACCCTAGCCGCGGCCATCCTCATCACCTCTGACACGCTCGAGTCCACTGAGATGGTCATTGTGTCAACACCTCTCGCTGGAGGTCTCCCTCTCTTGCACTGACCTTCTACCTTTCCCCTGACACCTCTTCCCAGGAACGGGTCCCGCCTGACAACATGCCTGAAGTATGTGAGATGAAGTTTCAACATCCTTCTAAGAAGCTCCCTGCTTGCACTTCCTCCCGACAGACTTGTTTATTCTTTGGGCAGTCTGTGGGAGATTCGAGACTTTTGTCAACACCACAATTCAAAAACAGCGATTCTTCCTCAGTCTTCCTTAGTCACTGTCCAACTTTCGGATGCATACAAAAGAACTGAAAATACCATGACTTGGATCAGGCTCACCTTAGTCTTTCAACTGACTTCGTTGCTCTTTTAGCATTCTTAAAGAGAGACTTGACAGCAAATTTCTCCAGTGCAGCACGTCTTTGGATTTCTTGACTGCTGTTACCATGGGGGCTGACTGTGAATCCAGGGCAGATGACAGGGGAGAACTGCCCAAATGTTTCCTAAGTCTAGCATCTTCCCGCACACGGGAAGGTGGGCTCAACTTGCTGACTGTTCAGTTTGCAACGGAGGCTTCATCAGCGTGCCACCAGGGCTCCAGGGCCGCCCCCCTGAAGCTCATTCTATTTGTTCAGATTCTGTTCTATCTCCGACAGTGGAGAGCCAGTGAATTCAGGAGACTCTACTATACAGTCAGTGTCAAGAAACATTGAAGCTAAAATAATAAAGAGAGCATGCAAAACTTCAGCAGGTGCAACACTTCCATGATACATCTTCAAGGATATGAACATGTACGGCTAAGCACAATCGATAACAGTGCATCTAAATTCCAAAATCAATCTCCATAATAGTCTATGTGTTTCCTACTGCCAAGGGGGCCCTTTAGAGTAGTGAGAGAAGATCTTCACCCTGAAACCCACAGCGTCCCTTTTCAGCAGGAAGTAGCTAAGAGAATACGCCATCCCCTTTTCCTTATGACTCAGGGTGAAGTCTCTCTCAGGGAGGAGTGATAGGGAATGGCAAAGGACACACTGACAAAGGAGATTAATCAGAACTGGCTTTGACAAGCACTGTGGCAATTGGACAATTAAAACAGACATTGGGGGGGAAGAAGAACGAACTGGGGAGGAGGGTGGAGAAAACAGTGCAACAATGAATGAATGAAAACCCAAAATCTCCGTAAATGTTCATTAAAACTAATAAAATTTAATAATTAAAAAACAACAAACTTCAGCAGGGGAAAAACAGGAAGAGAAAATGCTGTGGATCAATAATAATAATGTGTTACTTACCTTGCTGGATTTTTGCAAGGTGAAGGTTTGTAATACAAAAAAATCCATTTTTCGTAAGGAGCAACATATAATAGGTTCCTATGGAAATGGAATAAAAATCAGTGTCTCTGAAGAGAAAGGGGGACACAAAACTTAAACCTGGATGTCCATCTACCTTAAAAAATGCTAAATTGTTTATGTAAATGCGAATCATCCAATAATAAACTATACAGGTACAGTTTATTTACAAAGAAAATGGCAAGCTATTTGGGAAATATGTGAACATCTCTGACATTTTCTATGAAAAACCAACTTCTCAGGGAAAATAATAAAATTAAAAATAAAATTCAGATATAAAAATAATGTCAACAAATGTTAAATATGCTAAATCACATTAAAACGTCTTATAAAAATGTAGCATGCTAGGACAAGTATCTGGAACAAGGGATGCATTATGGGGTGGGTAGGGAGAGGGGACGGAGGGAAGGGAGAGAGGGTGGGCAGGGAGAGGGGACGGAGGGAAGAAAATGCAACCAAAACACAGGAGGGGGGGAAATGGAAAAACTGGGAGAGGGAAGAAAATGTGCAACAATGAATGGAAATAAAACTTTTCTGTAAATTTTCATTTAAACTATAAGGGTTAAGAAAAAAAATTCAAAAAAGAAAATAAAATGCACCTTGGCAATTTATGGAACTGCAAAACGAGAGGGAAGAAAATGTGCAACAATGAATGGAAATAAAACTTTTCTGTAAATTTTCATTTAAACTATAAGGGTTAAGAAAAAAAATTCAAAAAAAAGAAAGAAAAAAATTCAAGGAAAAGAAAATAAAATGCACCTTGGCAATTTATGGAACTACAAAACTACAAAACATGAGTTACAAACTTTATGTTTGAAATGGCACTTATTTAAACTTCCAAGAAGAGCTAAAATAACTTGTTATGTAGCCAAATATTCACTACAGCAATAGGACATTTTGATTTCTACAGATAGCATAGCATGCAATTATTATTAAGCATAAAGTAAATTACGGTTTTAGTTGAGAATTCATCAAAACATTATCATTTGAGTGAAAAGAAAAATGAAAGACAACTTACCTTCATTTGAAATATCTTTCTCAATAACAAGATTCCGGTAAGTACATTCCTTGCCATCAGGAGCCGTCTGCACAAAAGCCTAATTGGAAATTAATTACAAAGAACAAGGTCTAACACAGAAAACAATAACCAAGGCTTATTACATACAGTCTTTAAGCTGTAGAACTATAAGAGACCATCGGCAATAATTAATAATTTCGTCTTCATAGAAAACATTTTCATTTCAAACTTTTGGACAAGCATATTCAGATTATTTCCAAAGTTATCGATAATCTTTCATTTAATATGTGTTTCCAAGGCATCACTTTTCATTTAATGAAGAAAAACAATACTCTTTGAAAGTAGTGGCATAGATGGAATGGCCCTTAGTTACTCCTCAGGCCTGGCACAAAACTCCCCCCTGTGACTCTACTTTCAACCAAACAGTAAAGAGGTCTGTAAGCTGGACAACAGGACAGTCTGCACTCCTTAAAACAGGCAGCGTTTTCCCAGGGACACAGCTGAGAGGGCTGAAGGGTTAGGAGTGGAGGAGGAAGGGAAGTGGGAAACACTGGGGGGAAGTGGGTTGAGTGCTGTCACACTGGGGTTTGTAATCAACGTCACTAAATAAAATGCACAGGAACTGATGAAAGAAAAACTGATCTGCAATGTAAACAGACCTTCACCCAGCTCAAAATGAAAAACTAAAAAAAAAAAACCCAAAAGAAAGGAAGAGTAATAGTGTGCCAAACTTCTACCTAAGGTTTCTTTAGAATTTTGATAAGAAAGCAAACTCTTACGTTGCTGAGCAATGTCTGCTTTGATGGCACGTGAATGACTTGCAGGTTGCCGTTCCGCTCGCCCACTAGCAGAAACTTGCCTTCGTGACAGAGGCCAACCACGTCCACTTTGGTATCTGAAAATTGCAAAGCAACATTAAGGTTGTCTAGGCTGCAGTCTTTGGACAGATCCCCCAAGCTGCTCTTCCACAGAGCAATCACAGGTGAGCGCACACCACTCCACTTCCAGGGCGCAGCCACGTGCTAAATCACTGCACCGCCAGGGCTGTGGTCAACTCGCTCCTGACTCGCGGTGACCCCGTGTGAGCCAAGTGGCACAAAGGCCTCTGCAGGGTCTGCAGGGTGGTGGTCGTCAGGAAGCCGAGGGCCAGGTGTGTCTCCCGAGGAGCCTGTAGGCAGGTTCACGTCACCGACTTCCTGGTCAGTAGGGAGCTCTCGTGGTGCAGCCTATAGCCAGGTGCGCGGCTCACCCACAGGTGAGTGTATCTCTGGACCTTCAAATCCACCAGTGGTTCCATGGGAAAAAGAGGGGCAGTCCCCTCCTGTTAGAACTTACAGCCTCAGAAACGGGCGCTACGGCAGTGACCTTGAGATTTTCCATCGTTACTAGTCCAGCACGTAACCACCTGTGCCACCCAGGGATGGTATACGCTCTCAAAGTACCTAAGTCTCTGTTGCTGACATTAATCTATGTATATGATTTAGGTCCCTGAGCCTTAGACTAAGGGCTGTATAGCCCTGGTCTGTCCACTTGCTGTACAGAGGTAACTCATAGTTGCTGTGAAGCTGAACACTGACACTAAAGTGTCAAATGTGAGAATGGTTACACATGGTGGACAATGTTTGGTGGAGATTAAAATAAGCTTGGAAGCAGGAGTGGCATCCTTGCCTCCAGAAACCCTATGAACCTGGAAAAAGGACGAAAGTTATACAAGTGTCCAGGTCTTTCGATCATAGGGTCACTATGAGTCGCCTATGACTCGACAGCAATTAACAACAACAACAACAACATGATTCAGGTACTTATATAGAACGGGATTCCATTGTTTCCCTATGTTATTCTAAAACAAATTCAACACCAAGCAAGTAAATGAAAACGTGGCTTTTCCTGTATGTTTCCCAGGAGAATTACTGAGAGAGGGTTGTCATCTCTGCACCCTCTGAGTCTAGTACCCAGCACATCACAGATTCTTAAGTTCTACTTGCTTAAAGTTCAATTTGCTTTCCTAGAAGCAATGATATAAAGAAAAGACCGTCAGGGAGAAAAGGAGAATTCATTTACAAGGTGACTTCCGGTGGATGTGGTTCCATGGGCAAAGACTTACCAAAGATAAGCTGTAACTGCAGGGTCCTACAGATGCTGTCCAGCAGAATCACCGACTGGTCGGCGACAATAACGAAGCCATCACTTGAGCTGCATGCTTGGATCTTTGGGTTCAATGATGTCTGCAGCAGGGACAGCAACGATGAACAGTTAAAACATAAAGCAAGAGAGACACAGATTCAGTGTCTTCCATACAATGGGGAGCAGGGGTATGGATGAACTGCAAAGTACAGGGTTACAGGGTATGAACTAGAGAGAGGAATCAACTCCACACCAGCCAGACTGAATGAAGGCCAATGGGAAGGCAAAGCTGGCAGGGCCACGGGCCTGCTTAGCAAGAAAACCTGGGTCTTCCTGCGAAATGGTCTGATTTTTAAACCTTGCAGTGTGCTGTCGGGTCGGAACAGACCCATAGCTGACCCTTCGGTGGGTTTACAGAAGCCGTAAACTATACAGAAGGAGACTGCCCACCTTTCACCTGCAGAGCCGCTGGAGGAATTGAACCATCAGCTTTTGCACCGACAGTGCAATTCCTTACCACTAAGGCACCAGAACTCCCCGATTTTTAAAAACTGGTGGCTAAATAAATTTTTATAAAAACAAGCTGGTATGTAAGCTAATATACCAATATACCATGGTCCGCCAGAAGAACAAACAAATCTGTCTCGGAAAGAAGTGCGGCCAGAATACTCCCTTGTTGTTGTTATGTGCCGTTGAGTCACCTGCAATTCATTGCGACCCTATGTACAATTGCTCTGAACCCTCTCCTATCCTGAGCCAATCTGTCTCCGACACACCTACCCCCATTACTCCAGTACCCCATTAAAAAGTGAAACTAAGTCTCATGACTGTGGGCCTGTGATCAGGAGGGGCCAGTCGCTGGAGAAGGCCACCATGCTTAATGAGGCACGGAGTCAGTGAAAAGAGGAAGACCTCCAACAAGCTGGATCGACCCAGTGGCCATGATAGTGGCTCACACCCTGCAGAGAGTCTGAGCGTGTGTAGGGTTCAGCAGTGTGTCCCTAGGGGTCGGAACAGACTCAATGACAACTAACAGTAATATAAAAGCCATACAGGAGCCTCTCGTTTTCAGCTTCTGTTTGACAAACTTAGTTAACTCAGTGTTTTCACAGTTCACAGTTTCACAGTTTTCACAATGTTTTCGTAGCCTGTAACAGGACCTCATTACTCTTCACAGTGGGGAAAATCTGCTGTCATGGACCTCTCCAGAGCGCTGAAGAGCAACGATGTCAGTCTAGAGACAAAGGTGACCTAATCCAGGCCATGGTCTTCTCAATTACTTGCTATGCATCAGAGAGTTGGACAATGACTAAGGATGACAGAAGGAGAATAGATGCCTTCAAGTTGTGCTCCTGGAGAAGAGTCTTGAACATACCATGGACCACCAAGAAGACAAATAGGTCTGCCTGGGAGAGGGGGAAACCAAGACTCTCCTTGGAGGCTAGGATTTTGAAGCTCCACCTCACTTACTTTGGGCATGTGCCCAGGAGAGATCAGTCCTTGGAGAAGGATATCATGTTTGGAAGAGTGGAGGGACAGCTCAGGAAAGGAAGACCCAGGATGAGATGGATTGATACAGTAACTGGGGCAAAGGAGGTTAAGTGTGTCAGAATTAGAAAGACTGGCTCAGGACAGGGAAGGGCTCAGAGCTGCTGTATGCAGGGTCACTATACATCACAGGCGACTCAACAACACATAACAACAATAACACACTATGACAGGTTTGGAAGCAGGAGTGGTGTCCACTTCCTAAACCACATGCCTCTGGAAACTCTACGAACTTTGATAAATGTCGATATTTGTAGAAGAGCTTCAGGCCTTTTGTTTATAGGTTCACTACAAGTCGTGCTCGACTCGAAGGCAATCAACAACAACAATACACAATATGCATTATCATATTATTTTATGTCTCCTCTGCAAGTCTGGAAGGTCTCAAGGAAAACTATGAACAGTTTCACCTTGGAAACCGCAAATCTCAGAGGATGCAGAGAGAATCCAGACGGACACTTGCAGTGATCTGACACTGAAACCTGATCCCCTGACAAAGCGCTGGATCTGTTTGCCTAACAGTCACTGCATGGCTAGCGGGCTGACAAGGCACGGAGTGCACTCCTGCAGAGGAAAATCACTGGCATCAGAGTCCTTACCGTCTCGGAAGAGATCTTCACCAGCAGATCGACTTGATAGAGAGCAGTCCCATGCTCTTCTCTGGAGCCAACACTCAGGAACCCGCTTCCCGTGTCATCACTTGTTAGCAGCTCAATGTCGTTCCACATGCTTCTGAGATTTTCCTCCAGAGTCAGCCGCAAGTGCTGTTCCTGTGACAATGCACACAATCAGAGAGCTAGTGATTCTGTTGTACACCAACCACTTCTTCAAGAAAGGGAAACCCCTCAGACCTATGATTAGCACCAGAGAACAGTACACAGGCTTGAACACGCCAACAAACAGTGCTGGTTTATCAGTATACTCCCAGGTTTCCAATCTTCACCTAACTTGATGTGATACCATTACTTTCTTTAAAATAAACCTTTACTCTGCATGTTGTTGCTGTTGTTGAGAGCTGTGGCGTTGAGGTCAACTCATAGCGACTCTATGAACAAAAGACCTAATGCCTTTCCATAGCTATCATTGTTTCTCCAAGTTCATAGTTTCCATAGCAATAATAAAAAAATAAAAATGTAGACTACAAAGTCAGAGTGTCTGGGATGATCAAACCTAGGCTATTCCGGTCAGTCACAGTGGGTAAGAAGTTTACACTGCCCATTTCACCGAAGACGACATTCAGATGGCTAACAAACACATGAAGAAATGCTCAAAATCCCTAGCCCTAAGAGAGATGCAAATTAAAACAACTATGAGATATCATTTCACCCCAGTCAAAATAGCAAAATTTAACAGAACAGCAAGCAACAAATGCTGGCGAGGTTGTGGAGAAACTGGAACCCTGATTCACTGTTGGTGGGAGTGTAAAATGGTGCAACCCCTGTGGAAAGCAGTATGGCGCTTTCTCAAAAAGTTGCAAATAGAGATACCATTTGACCCAGCAATTCCACTACTGGGAATATACCCTGAAGAGACCATAGCTGACATCCAAGCAGATATATGCACACCCATGTTTACTGCAGCTTTGTTCACAATAGCAAGGAGTTGGAAACAACCTAAGTGCCCATCAACAAACGAATGGCTAGAGAAGCTGTGGTATATTCGCACAATGGAATACTATGCTGCATTAAAAAACAAGGAACTCATGCAATCTTATTCAAAATGGTTGACTCTGGAGAACATTATGCTGAGTGAAATATCCCAGTCACAAAAGGACAAATATTACATGATGCCACTGTTGTAGAATGGGACTGTCCTTGGGGTTGGGGAGAGACTGAGTAAGATGGGTTCAATAATGTATACTGCACTGAAACAGAGGAGGGAGAAAACTGTTTAAAAGAGATATATAACTAGGTATTTCTGTCATCACAGGAGACTAGAGCGAGGGTTACATGGTGGAGGGGACCTGGGGGAGGGTTTGTAAAACAATGAAAGAATCTTTTCTTTTACTTTTCCATAATTTCTGGACTCATATACTTATAACTTGTTAGTCAAATTTGTGTCTTCTAGGTTGCAACACCCCCATGATACATCTTCAAGGATATATACATGTACGACCAAGCCCAATCAATAAGAGTGCATCTAAATTCCAAAATCAATCTCCATAATAGTCTATGTGTTTCCTACTGCCAAAGGGGCCCTTTAGAGTAGTGAGAGAAGATCTTCACCCTGAAACCCACAGCGTCCCTTTTCAGCAGGAAGTAGTTAAGAGAATATGCCATCCCCTTTTCCTTATGACTCAGGGTGAAGTCTCTCTCAGGGAGGAGTGATAGGGAATGGCAAAGGATACACTGACAAAGAAGATTAATCAGAACTGGCTTTGACAAGCACTGTGGCATTTGGACAAGAACAAACTGGGAGGAGGGTAGAGAGAATAGTGCAACAATGAATGAATGAAAACCCAAAATCTCTGTAAATGTTTATGAAAATTAATAAAATATAGAAAAAAGAAAAAAAAAAGAAGTTTACACTGCCAATCCAAAGGCAGGCAGTTCAAATCTACCAGCTGATTTGCTGGAAAAAAGATGAGCAATCTCCCAGAAAACTGACAGCCTTTCAAAACCCACTTGGAAGGTCAGCTAGGAATAGTATGTAAGATGAAGCTTCAAAATCCTTGCCTCCAAGGAGCAGCCTGGTTTCACCCTCTCTAGGATGAACCTGTTCTCTTAGCAGTACGTGGGGGGGGTGTGTGTATATATATATATATATTTTTTTTTTTTTTTTTCAGTACTGTTCTCCAACACCACAGCTCAATGATGCTTGGAGTAAGGCAGCATAAAATGTGTCATCTAATTTCCTATTGTTATTGGTAGAGGTAGTAATAGGTTGGGAATTTCAGTTCGGAGGAGCTTTTAAATAAAGGAAAGAGCTCTCACTAACAGAAGAGTGTAAGAAAGAATATAGATACAAAACATGAAAATATAACATAGTTTCAAGTCTGGGAGGAAATCAAGACAGGAGGGTCAGGTTAGACTCAACACTTTTTCAGTCCTTTGTCTTTCACATCCATAAAATTAAAATATTAACAACTCACTCCTCTTGCAAGAGCTGCCATATTAATTCATTAACAAGCATTTGCTGAGTGCCTGTCTCGTGTCAGACACTATTGTAGAAGTTGACAGTACAGCGACAATCAAGACAGAAAGTGTCTTCGTCTTGAAGTTCATCTCTCTCCCTCACTGTGTGAAGTAGAAGCTCACACCTTGCAGGGAGATGGCTCTTCTGTCTCCTCGAGAGCCCCTGGTAGATTTGAACAGCCAGAGGTACAGCTTTTGGCTTAGCAACCCAGCTCCCTACAGACTACGCCACCAGAAGTTGATAGGGTTTGGGTGTAAAGCAGCCATGCAGAAGCCAGGCAGAAACAGTCGAATACTGAGCTGATTCTGAAATCCTGTGGCCAATTCAAACAGCCAATTTGCAAAACCCACCATGCTGTCAATTCTGAGTTTCACCCACTTTGCGAGCAAAGCTCCTTTATCATGCATTATGTTATAGCATTAACAGCTAAAAAGCAAAGTTGTTGTTGTTGTTGTTAAGTGCTGTAGGCGACTCATAGCGACCCTATGAACGAAAGTCCTGGACACCTCCTGTATAACTTTCATCCTTTCTCCAGGTTCATAGGGTTTCCAGAGGCAAGCTATTGTGGAAGTGGATGCCACTCCTGCTTCCAAGCTTGTTTTAATCGGGGAGCCCATGGGTAACCATGATCGCATTTGACACCTCAGTGTCACAGTGTTTGGCTTCACAGCAACCACAAGTTACCTATGTACAGCAAGTGGACAGACCAGGGTTACACGACCTAGAAGACTGTTTCACCAAAAACAATTAAAGGCAGGCCTGAGGGCCGTGGAGTAGAGTCACCCACTTTTGGCTCGGGAGCATGGCTTTCTGTCCGCTAGGCCAACTGTTTTCTCTCTCTCTTTCTCTAGGCTATTGGTGGTGGTGTTGGTGTTAAGTGCCGTCATGTTGCAGGCGACTCATAGTGACCCTATGAATGAAAGTCAGGACACCTCCAGTATAACTTTCGTCCTTTCTCCAGGTTTATTGGGTAAAGCAGCCCCTAAAAATTGAGTTTTCCATGCCCGACCAACCTGGACCAATTGGTTTCACATGGTTCTGTTATGCAAATACCTTGAATATTCTGTTCTCTGCTTAAATGAAGACATGAGGTGGTTGGTGTTTGTGTACGCATAGCTGACCCTCCAGCGGGTTTTCAGAGGCAGAAGGTTACCCATCCTTCTCCAGTGGATTCGAACTGGTTACCTTTCCCTAACTCTATTTATGAAAAAACTTTTGTTTTCGCTTTAACAGTACTTCTCACAGTTTATAGAGGTTGGGCGTCTGAATTGAAGGCATCAGCTCCAGGGGAAGGCTTTTTCTCTCTGTCCATTTTGGAGAAAGGTCCTTCTCTCTTCAGCTTCTGCTTCTTGGTCCCTTGGAGATCTCGGTGTGTTTCAGCCTCTCATCTCTCTTTTCACTTGTTTGCGTGAAATCTCCTAGCAATCCTTACCTCCTTGATGCGAATGGACCTTCACCATAACTGATCTTTCTGTAAAAAATGTGGCCTCGCATTGGGATGAGCTGGCCTGCCAGCAGTCCGATTCTCCCACTTCTTCCTTTTCGACAGCACCCTGGAATAAATTACCTTCACTTCTAGTAACTGGATTTTAGTATCTTGACTTTTACTAACTGGAGTACTCACTCGTTTTTCCCTTGTAGAAAGGTCAAGCAAAAAAACAGAACACGGGCTGCGTGACTCTTACGGGCCAAGGAGAGTTTAGATTGTTTTCTTCATTCAATCTCTAACATTTTTTTTTTTTACTTAAATTGTGTGTGTGTGTGTGTGTGTGTGTGTGTACCGTCGAATCGGATCTGCCTGGTACAGGAGATTGTCTCTCCTCCAGCAGAGAATCTGGTAGATTTGAACAATCTCTTTAACATTTAACCTTTATTCCTTCCAAACACAACCCAGCTCTTCAATGTCATCCGGCTGCCCTTGGTGGGAAGACCAAGCAAACGCAAAAATCTGCGTGCACGCGTGCGGGGAGGGAGCGAGCGGGCATGTCAAGAGGATGTGCATTTGGGAAGGGGAGGTGACAGTGGACAGAGAGCCCCGAGGGACAGGCTCAAGGGGCCCAGAGACGCAGAGAATGGAGGACGGAGAGTCGGGGGGCTGGAGGAGGCGAGCCCGGGAAGGACGCAGCCAGAGGCAGCGCGAGATGTGATCAGATTTCCCACGGATAAACGAATGCCAAATAATAAACGAGATTCTGAAAAAGTGTCAGTTAGGCCTCCACCCGGTCCCCAGCTTGACACCAACCTGTAACCAACGTCTTGGGAGCAAAATCACCCGCGTTCCGGTCGCTAATGCGTCGAGCTGAAGCCCACCCGCATCCCTACGACAGTGCGGCTACCCCTTTCTCACCGGCAATTGAAAAAACTGAAAAAATAAAGCTCAAGTAGTCCTCTACTTTTTCCAATTTATAACAGCCCCTTAATGTTAAATAGCATCCTACGACTTTGAATTGGCGGGAGAACGCGAAGCCCCACCCACTTTGACGGCGGCCGAAAGAAGCCAAGATTATTTCAAGACTCGAAACAGGAAGTGGAACGACCCTAAACCCCGCCCATTGGACGGGAGGGGAGGGGAGAAGAGGCATCTTTGCGGGCATTCTTGGCTCCGCCCCCTTCCCGAGTGCACACGCCCCCTCCTTCGGAAGCGCAGCCAATCACAGCCTCGAGGCGAGTTGCCATAGGAACCGCTGCCCCCGCCCCCTGCCTTCCCAGCAGGCAGCGCGGCGCGCGGAGCCTCAGCGCCTTTGTGCCATCCGGGTCTCTGGCGCGAGTGTTTTAGTCTGTGGCGAAGCTTCGGGGTGGTCGGTACTGTCGCAAGCTGCACGCTGCGGTGCCGCCCGAGCGGCCGGGGACTCCCGATGATGGCGGTAGGTGGGCGAATCCCGATTTCAGGCCGCGGGGAGAGGGGTTTCTCGTCCTCTTGGAGGGGCGGGTGGAAGCTGTCGCCCGCCGGAGTGTGCGAACAAAATGGCGCCGCGGCCTTGTTCTGCGCCCGCCATCATGACGGCCCGCCGTCGGGAGGGGGAAGTTAGGCGGTGCCGGTGGGGGTGGGGAGCCGCGGGGTGGCTTTTTTTTTTTCCCCCCCCGAACTTTCCGCGTCCTCCTTAAGGCCTCGGACGCACTTGCAAGGGCGGGTTGCGGGATCGAAGCCCGCACGGGGAAGAAAGGGAGGCGGGCTCGGGGATGGTGTCAGAACCCCAGTCCTGGGGCGGAGGAGGCTCGGAGGGCGAGGTGATTGATCGGGATGCCTTTTCCGTCCCAGTGGGTCGTTGTTTTCGAATTCGGCTGTCGGGAGTCTGTCTGGGGGGGGGTTCTGATGGGTTCCGCCGGGTGCGGGGTCTCCCCAGTGGCTCGTGATGCGATCGATCGGCGCTGGGGGCTCGGAGACGCCAATCGCCGGGTCTCCAGCGTGGGCGTGGCTTGAACGCGTTGATTTTAATTGATCACAGCTCTTCCATGCACCTGCTTTGCAGGAAAAAGCCTGCGCCTTCGTTTCCTTCCATCCTGGTGGGCCCTGACATTGCTGCGTGGTTATTTTTATGTAAATCAATTTAAAAAATGTTAATATGGACCATCCCCCAAAAAAAGTTTATTTTGTTTTTTTCTTGATTAACTATGAGTGGATCTAGTGGCTGGTTGTAAGGGGAAAGCAAAGGGGTGGGTGAGTCATTGGACCTACAGTCAGGATGTATCCGTGGGATTAATGCCCATATTTTTTTTTCTATAATTTTAATGCGCATTTACAGAGATTTTGGATTTCCATTCATTCATTGCTACAGTTCTCTCCCCGTGTTTTTGGTTTGGTTTTTTTTTTTTATAAATAAAAGGGGCTGTTAAAAGTAATGACACGTTTATTTCTAACAGTTGGGAGTATTTGGACCTGGAAAGGGTAGAGAGATGGTTTTTTTTAATTTTTTGTTGTTGTTTTTGTTTTCTACTCCCAGTCCATCTGATTGAATGGAAGCAGATGTTGTTTGGGTTTTTTGTTGTTCTCATTCGCACTTGAAACGATTAGATTATGTGGAATGAATGGTTTTAATGCATTCCTGTAAGTGCTGTTTGAAATCTTTGAGTGTATTTTAAAGAATGGTATTGTTTTACTTAGACACGGTTATTTTAAAACATTGACACCATTTCAAACGTTTATTTTTGTTTCTGCAGTACCTCCAATAAAAAGACGTGGTCCCCTGGAGAAGTGACCTAATATTGAATGCTTATCTTCTTTGCCTGGGAAAAAAAGAGATTTGTATACTCTGTTTTGATGGGCATCTCTAGGGTTTTTCAGCAAGATAGGAAATTTTAATTTTTTTATTTATTTTTTTTACAAGATAGCAATTTTCAGGAACAAAAGCTACCTTCTGATGGTGCAACGAATAGAGAACAGTTTTCCAGGTGGTGATTAAGGTTAATCTGGATATTAAGATGGAATCCTAACACTAAATGAGATTTTTAAAGACATTTTCTTTTCCCGTTGCTGTTAGTTTTCCCCTAGATAACCGCATTATGCTCTTCATGGGAATCTGTTCAGATAAGATACAGGCCTGACAGTGACAGTCTCCAGCCTATCTTCTGTGTTGCTTGTACGCATGTAGGTAGATACACAGGAAATTGGCTATGAAAGGCTGAGTACTGGCTTTTCTTCAGAAAGCCTGCTTTTGATTCTGATCATGATTTTCTGTTGCCGTGGGCCAGTGATTCATAAATGCAGTATTTCTTTGGCTGAAAGGTGACATGCGCTGGCCCTCTTGAGAGTGCTTGCGATTGCTCTAATTTTACCTATACTTCAGCCTCTCAGAATGGTTCCTTCAGGCTTATCATGAGAAGAATGCAAGTAAATAGCCAGTGTTAAAATGAGAAGTACCCTTCATTGCATAATACAACCTCATTTGTTAATACCAGATAGCACAAAAAATTGGGGATAAGGCACTTAAGTTAACCAGTGAGTGTTGTCGGGTCTTGTCTATAAAGCGAGAAAATGAAATCTAGTGATTCTAAGGAGTTGAAAATCTTTAAGCTTAAATAAAAAAATCTCGTCTCCAGGAATCGCTCCTAGTGGACAAATGATGGTGATAGTACAGATGAATGGATGTGCATAAGAGCATTCACAAGGAGTTAGTGAGGGGTTTAAATGTACATTTGAAACATTGTTACCTTACCACTCCACACTCCTAAGGTCCTTCTCCCAGCTGGACTCCTTCAGGGAGCTCTGGGGGCTTCCTGGTAAGGAATTGCTCTGCCAGCCTCAGGCAGGTGATGGATCCACTTGCTGCTTCATGGGAGAAAGTTGGACAGCCGTCTGCTGTACATGAGCTCTCAGTTGATGGCAATGAGTGAGTGAAACGACATCATTTTTTATTCTCAGAAGTCAGGGCAGATACATCCCAAAGGAAAGGCTGCAAGAGGCTGAGATTCTTTTTGTCTGAACAGTAATAAATGGGATTTGAATTGCTGTTAAGAGCAAGGTTGATTAAATTACCTTCTAACCCCGGAGTGGGGAATGTTTAAATATAGGAACTTGATTTGGGGTAAGTCACTTGTCTAGGAAACAGTGTTGTGCTTTTTAAGAATATTTAAAAAAAAAAATATTTTCAAGCAAAAGCAATTTGATGTTTCTGTAGCTCTGAGCATATATTGAGAAGAGGCAGGCCTTGTTAGTCAGCACTATATCTCCGGTAATTCAGTATTTTTCTTACCTAGAAATGTTACCGTGCACTTTAAAAAAAAAAGTAAAAGCAAAGATAGTTTTACTAGAAAATATAACATCCCAGAGAATGAGAGGATTACAGAGTAAGAAGATCCTAAAGTAAAATGGAGAAAGACTATCTTATACTTTCCTAAGCGTTTACATTTTTACGTTTTCTAAACCTAACTCATTAAAAACACTTTTTAAATGTATACGCATTTGCGGTAAGGGACTGTTTTGTAAAGTGTACTAAAACGGGATTTTCTTTACATTTATTTTTAAATAGACTAATTTCTGTCGTACGACTATTTCTTGGAAACCCTTAGAGCCATTACCATACCCTCCCAATCATCTTTGGGAGCTCTTGTTGCACCGCCAACCCAAAATGCACTTCTCCAGTGAATCTACTCAGCAGGTCTGCAGGAGACGGTGGATGGACTCCTGCCATTAACAGTCCTCAGAAACCCTGTGCAGGGTTGCTGTGAGTCAGAACTGGCTCAGCACTTGTGTGTGTTTGATGAGCAACTCAGACACGTTAGTCTGAGTACATAAATGCTTTAGAGCAATAGTCTAATTGGTCTTTTCAAAGAATTGAGAACTAATTTCCCCATAGGAATCATGTTTAACTATTTGGAAATCAGGAGTTTTATTTATTTGGTTTATAGTCATAAAGGATGAACATTTTCTCTTGAGAAATTGGAAACATTTTGAATGCAATTAAGAATTCTATATATGACAACAATTTGGAACACGGGGTGCATTGCTGGGAGGGCTAGGGGAAGGAGGAAGAAAATACAACAATGAGGAAAAAATGAAATCATTTTCTGTGTTTCTTTAAAAAAAATAAAATAGTAATTTTAATCCTTTTCCTCTTAAACTTTTAGGCTAGTGACACAGAACGAGATGGACTAGTCCCAGAAAAGACGTCCCCAGAGAGTGAGAAGAAAAAAGAGCAGTCAGATCTATCTGTTTCTCCTAGAGCCTCAAAGCATCATTATTCACGATCAAGGTCAAGGTCAAGGGAAAGAAAACGGAAGTCAGGTATGGATTGTTGAAATTTTTATTACTGTCCTATTTCTGAAGCAAGTGGTTTATTATTTCAGGTGGTCCATACTCACTTACTCTTAAAGAAAAAATTGGACAGAACTGATAAAGTGTAGAAAACAACTGTTAATGCTTTTTTTTTTTTTTTTAAACATAGCATTGTTACTTTATGAAGGTGTTTAAGTGAGAAGTTTGGTAATATACCTGGATTGTAGTGGTTTTTCCTTGGCTGTCAGTGGTCTATAGACGGAACTATAGGCCATTCCTGGTTCACACAGGCCTGTCCTTTCATGGCTAGGAAAGCAAAACCAAGACCATCCCACCCACCTCCCAAAACATTTGCCATTTTGACTGCTTTGAAATGGTCCCCAGAGTGAAGGTTGATGCCCTACCCTGGGAGACTTGGAAGAGAGAGACAGTGAACACTTTGAGGATCTCACTGGTGGCCTAGTGGCAGAAGGTGCACTACAGTCCTGAAGACACAAAAGTTCAAATCCACCAGCTGGGTGGTGTCCCCCGGTGCAGTTGACTGCCTCTGAAGACTTCTCAGGGGGTTGGCTATGGGTAGGTTCACTAAACAGTCACACAACAACCATGCATAAAATTCGCTGATTCGTAGGAGCGCAGGAAAGGCAAGCTCTGAATCCTCTGCCATCTTGGTGCTGCTTCAGATTGAGTTCTGCTCAGAATTAAATAAGATCTGATTGCTGTGAATGCATACCCAGCCCTTCTTCCGTAAAAGTGAAGATTGTCAAACTACACTGGTTATCTTTGCAATTCACTGTGATTGACATTTCAGTCTCCTTCTGTGGCACTTAATTTGACCTTTGACCGCAATTGAACTAAGCAGAACCAGTTTGAAGCCCTGACAGTGAAAGATGTAACAATTTTTGAATGGTAAAGTTGTTTTGATGCTGCTTTACCGTATTCACTGCGAGAATGAAGACCATTCTCAGCAACCAGACTAGACAGTCAGCATTCTAGAGAATGTGGACATTACTCTAAAGAGCTGCACGGTTATTGTGAAAGGCCGTTGGGGAACCTTGTGGAGGGACTTCAGTCGTATCAGTGCGGAGCTCAGTCTCCTGGGAAAGAAAAAAAGAGAGGCTTCTTGTTGACAGATAGTGAGGAAACAGGAAGGAACTGGCTGCTGTTCACACCGTCTGTAGCCATGGACAGAAAATGATCAAGGGGCTTACACTGGACTTTTGCTACAAGATGTGTGTATGCTCATTTCCTTATCAACGTTGTGATTGAAGAGAGTGGATCTCTGGTTGAAGTTTGAAACTTCTTGGGTGAAAAATACATTCAGAGTTCGAATGAGATAAGGTGTTGCTTGTTCAGAATCTCAATCCCAGAAAGATGAGTTAATTCTTGAAGGAAATGACACTGAGCTTGTATCATTCAGCTGTTTTGATTTCAGCAAGCTACAACAGGTAAAAACAAGGATATCCGAAAATTTTTGGATGGTCTCTATGTCTCCAAAAAAGGAACTGTCCAGCAGGCTGGTGATGAGTGTTAGCTACTTTTCCAGCTACAGAAATGAGGCTGAACAAGTCCAGTGCATCTGAGTCTTGTAATACAATTATTTTAATTTGAAGAGAAGAAAAAAAAGTTTGATGCCTTGGGACTTTTTCTTTGCTCTTTGTTTTTTTCCCCTCAATCCTGCTCTTGGTTTTGTTGTGTTATTTTTTTAATACATTTAATTACTTCATCCTTAGAAGATGGGTAGTAGGGTCTGTCATTACCAAAATAGAGTGGCAGTTAGTCTTTGTACAAGTACAGGTATGCATCATGCAAGTGTATATAATGCATAGTAAGAAATCAGGCCTCATGTGGTTGAACACACTTGTGTTAAAATCTTTGAAGCGCCTTCTTGCCATTCTCAACTACTGTTGCTAGAGGTAGAGGGACTGGCCCAGCCTTGCAGCCAGAAGGGCATGGAATGTAGCCTGCCCTTTGATCCACAGGGCAGCAGGAGCCACCCAAACCAAGCTTGTCTTCTGTGTCCCACCTCTGGCTCAGTGCAGCAGCACTCGAGGTTTGGGATTGCATAAATGACGCTGAGAGGAGAAAAGCTGATTTCCCTTTATAAAACATGAAAACCATGGGTATGGGAAGTCAAACGGCACTGGTGTTAAGCATAATTATATTGGGATTTGCTGATTAACGTGATCTTCCTTTGTCTTTGCTTATGGTGTATTTACTGTTTGTGATTACAGAAAATGAAGGGAGGAAACACAGGAGCCGGAGCAGAAGCAAAGAGGTAATTAATGCTTTGTAGTGAATAGGTACTTTTAAATACTTATAAAGTGTCTGGTAGAAATGTTTGTATGGATAAATGGTATTGTTAAGGTAAGTACCAAAACTTGAAAATAAAACGGTTAATTGGGTTATAAACTGAGCATGATTCATTTTTTTTTTTCAAGAAGTTGTTTGTATGAAAATTACATTCAAAACCTAGTAATTTTATTATGCTGTGAAAATAGTCAGCAATAAAAATTTCATATGAAGAAATATACTTGGTTTTTTAGGCCTGTCACACAGAGCTTCCATTAATGTGAGGTCCCAAGACTTCTCATGCCTGAACACTTCTCAGGACTTTTAAATGCTACCATCTTAACATAGGATGACCCTCCCTAGATCTCCATGGGCTACTTTTTCTTGTGTAAGACAATGAAAAGTTCTTTTTTTCTTGAGTAAAGTAGTTTGGTTCCCTGTGTAGTAGTTTGTGTAGTGAGAGACAGCTGGAAAGGTGGTGATGACAGCAATACTTAAGAAAGAGAAGGGCAGCCACAGTCATACAGAAGAGGGAACATGCTCACCCCTCAGAAGAAGACAGCAACAAGGAAGAACAGCAGTAGTCTAAAGTGGAAGAAACCGTTATGGGGGCTGGGCAAGGGACTCTGAAAACAGATGTGGGCAGGGACTTCCTCTTCCCCTAATGGAAGCTCTGGTAAATTCTTAATTTAGGAGTTTTTGTGAAAATGACTATTTTGTTTAGCTCACATGATAACATTTCTATAATAAATCATACTCAGCGTGCTAATGCGCGAAGAGACTGAACTGAAGACGCTGCAGACTCAGATAGCAAAATAATAAGCCTACTTCATGATAAGGTAACTATTAGTCATTCAAACTCCTATTTCCCTTAAATGTATCTTAAGTCAGTTAAGGGTTTTAATAATGTTTTGGTGATACTTTTGTTTTTTATAAGTAGTAATGTTATGTTTGGAAAACTAGTTTAAAACTCGAAAACCTTTGGAAGTTAATCACTGAACACTTTAATAGTTTGCCATTCTATACTGTAAAATCAAGGCAGTTTTCTTTAATAAGATCATCTTAAAAAGAGAACTGTCAGTGAAACTTAAATTAAGTTGTGAGTAGTACAGTGTGATATACTTATGGAAATCTGACGTTTCTCAAATTTGTGTCCTGTACTGTTGGTGGGTCTAAAAAAAACACAGGGCTCATTTTACTGCTGTCACTTTGTGACCTTCGATCTCATGTGGGGAAATCTAATATATAGCACTTTGTGTGGAGTCAGCATGAGTCTGGATCAACGCACTAGTAATTGTTTTTTGAGCTGTACAGTGGAGATTTTATAAATTGTCTTTTAGCTAAACTTCTACGTATTATTGGAAAGCCTTAGGTTATTAAATAGGAAAGAATGTATTCTATGATGGCAGACTCATATTAAGCCTGTTTGGAAACATATTTCCATTACCATTTTCTATCCTAGGTACCTGAGCCAAAATAGAATTCCTAACCTGTTGGGATATTACCAGATGAAAAATGTTGCTTCACAGTTTAAAAATTGGGATTTAATGAGAAGTTCTAGAGATGAGGTGGTGGTGTAGCTGTTAAAAGGGGCTCTGCCCTGACCTAGGGAGTAAGAAGCTGCAGGGAATAGTAATGATTTTAGTAAAATCCATTCTTGGCTTTACTTAGTGAAATGCGTTTTCTGGTGCATTTCTGTGTCATTATCTCTGTTGTTTTTAAGCAAAATAATATGGCGTATACTGTGGCTTTAGAAATTGCTGTTTATTTCCATGTTATTTTTCGAAAAGGGCTTGACAAAACTTGAAAGTTTGATTAAATGTCTGTACTCTCTTATTTGAGATAAACTGTCAGGGTTTTCTCCTTCTCTGATATTTTGGGGAGGGGGTTCCAATATTACTATAACTGAAAATTGATCATTTTTTTACTGTATTGAAATTAGTGTTTGGGGGGAGGAAACTGCATTTGGGGCTTTATGGGGGGGGGGGAATGAGATTAGTAATATACCTCTGCAGCATATGGGTAATGTGAAACTAGATCATTTTTTACTCGAACCACATACTCCTAAGGTTACTAATGTTGCATCACAGCATTTTTGTCTACTGATACCCATACTAACTCTCTTTGTTGCACTATTTTCCTGAAAGAACCAACTTCTTCTTAAAACAGGCAAGAAGACATGAATCCAAAGATAAATCCTCGAAGAAACACAAGTCTGAGGAACACAACGACAAAGAGCATTCTTCTGATAAAGGAAGAGAGCGACTGAATTCATCTGAAAATGGTGAGGACAGACACAAACGCAAAGAGAGAAAGGCGTCAAGAGGCAGGAGTCATTCCCGATCTAGGTCTCGGGAAAGGTGAGTTTCTGGATCACTGACCCTTGATGTCTTCTAAAACATTAACTCAGTAGAACTAAAACCTCTGTATTAGGAAACTGATATTTTTGCTTATGATAAATACACTCAAAGTAGTAGCTATACTTTAACTCTTGGTTGATTTTTGTCTCTTAACTCAAAAATACATCATGTTGAAGTAGTTTAATCCAGTATAATTTATTTTTCTTTGTTGACATAGTTTGTGTCCGTTGTAGCAAGAATAATACTGTTAAGAAATGTATCTAACCTAGATTTATTCTCATATAAAGGTATTTTGGAAATGAGTCCTGGCTCAGTTGTAGAATGTTTTTGTTTTGTCTTGAAGAAACCCACATTTGACGTATTTAGAGAAATCCACAGAAAACAGGTGGTTTCAGTGTTGTTTAGTAAGATAACCATTTTAAATTAGTAAAATTTTTGGTCAGTATTTGGGTAAATTGGAAGGTGGTAAACTATTAATCATTTTTCTAAATTTAGGTACGAATAATTGCATTGTTTACATGTTAAGGTTTTGCTGAGATCCATGAGAAACAGAAAACCATGAAGAATATATTGGGGGGTTTTTTTAACCCTCAAAAATTTCCATTACATTTTCTATAAAAGGTGCCTGATGTCACAGTAGTTAAGTGTTTAGCTGTTAACTAAACTTGGATCTAAGCTACAGGGATGGTTTTGATTGCTTGCACTATTTAGAATCAAATTATATTAAAGAGCTCTGTGTTGTTACAATTTTGTATACTTTCCTTTTAGGCGTCATCGCAGTAGAAGCAGGGAGCGGAAGAAGTCACGATCCAGAAGCAGAGAGAGGAAGAAGTCACGGTCTAGAAGCAGAGAGAGGAAGCGGCGTGTCAGATCTCGTTCTCGATCAAGGTCAAGACACCGGCATAGGAGTCGAAGCAGAAGTCGGACAAGGAGTAGAAGTCGGTAGGTACTGAATAGCTGGACAGAAGTTATACGGTAGCTATATAAAACAACTACTTCTTCCAGGTCCGTTCTTTATGGCCTGCTGTGTGCTGTCACTTGTTGAGATGGTTCTGGCTTGGCACCCCTCAGTCAGATTTGCAAGGCTACAAACTGCAGAAAGATGAGGCTGTGTATGCATTCTACAGCCTCGGGATGCGGTGGAGGGCCAGCTCTCAGTACTCACGTTACTGTGCGTGTTCATTTAGAGTTCTTTGTTTTCTCCTTTATGGCTTTGGAGCCTTCAGGCCACTAAACTGATTTAATAGGTGATTTTTGGTTTAATAGTTTTCTAATTCCAACTTAAGTTTGGTGACTCTGAATTTTTGTTTCTAAGATTTTGAGATACTGATTGCATACGTTGTGTAAAATACCATTTTCATGTACCTTTTCTTTTAAACAACATAAATGTTAGATTTTTATTTTCAAAAAACTGATGTTTGGCCATAATGTGACATATGAAATAATGTTTTTCTACAGAGATAGGAAGAAGAGAATTGAGAAACCAAGAAGGTTCAGCAGAAGTTTAAGCCGGACTCCTAGTCCACCTCCCTTTAGAGGCAGAAACACAGCAATGGATGCACAAGAAGCCTTAGCCCGGAGGTACTTCTTTTTTATTTGGTGCTGTTCTACTTTTGTAACTGAAAGTAGGCAAAGTGACTGCTTTGGGGTTAGTGCACTGGGATCATGCATGAAAAGTTCTTAAACATGACCTAGCACTGGTCATCTTCACCTTTACCTCATGTGCACAGCTTGTAAAAGATTGAGACCTACTTCCTCTTCTCATGTGGGCTAATCATTTCTTTGTTTCTTTTTATTTTCCAAGAAATTAATATCCCTACCACTATTTTATAAAATTCTAATGTTAAATTTGAAGAACACCTTGGTTTTGCCTCTGAAAAGGTTTGGACTTTACTTTATTTTCTCTCAAGAATGTAAAATGAAGGTGGAAACCAATTTAAATTATTTTGAAGCATTTGCTCCCTATGATAGGGATGATATTGCTGTTTGTTTTATAGTGATTCAAAGACGTATTTTGTGGGACAAAGCAAAGCAAGGGTAACTGAGATCTGTAAAATACTCCCCAAGAACTGGCTTGTGTGAGGAAGTAAGCTAAGTATCACAGGAGCCCTTGTTTGTGAGTTTTTCCATATTCTGAAAATTACACTCAGGAGTTTGTCTTTTTTTAAATTAAGAAATACTTTTTTTTCCTTATTGCAAGATTATAGTTAATACATTGAAACCTGGTGCGCTGCCATCCTGTGAACTCAGCCTGGCAGAAACTCAAATGAACAGCAAAGGTGTGAGTTTACCTCTTCATTTCCGTTTACCTGAGTGAACGGCATTATTGAAAAATCTGCAATGACTACTTGAACACTTAATTGAACTGTACATAGAGTAAGAAGCAATCTTAAAGCAGCATACTTGGCTTTAAAGAACAGGCATTGAGGTCAGGAACGATGTGCTCTGGGTTGTGCTCATTCAACAGGTTCAATGTGTACACTGAACAAATAACTTCAAGAGGCTGGACCACATGAAATGAATACAGTATCAGGATTGGAGGAAGACTCGTTAACATATGCTGGTGACATGGTTTACTTGATGAAACCAAAGATAATTTTTAAACACTTAAGTAATGGATGGATAAAGACTTAAGTGTGGATTGTACCTTATCATAAAACAAAATTATCATAGTTGGGCCAGTTGACTATATCATGACAAAAGATTGATGTCAGGGCACTCTGGTGGCCTAGTAGCAAAGAGCTGCACTGCAATCCTGAAGGCTTGCCGTTTAAATCCTCCAGATGCTCCACTGGAGAAGGAGGGGAAATCTCCTCTTGTGCCAGTCAGATCTGGTTCGACGGTACACAAAAAGAAGAGAAAGGGAAAAAAAGTTTGATTTTTGTCAGGGGATTTAATTTTCCTTTGATCTGTCAACACCCATAGAAGTACTCAAGAAATGATATGACCTGTTGCATTTAAACAGTCTGCTGCACACCATCTTTAGAAAGCAGAAACTAGCACTTGAGGACAGAGATACACCTACGTAAGCCCTAGTGGTTTTAGTAGCTTCTTGTGCACTTAAAAGCTGGATGGCAAATAAGGAAGAACAGAGTATTCCATTGGCCACCAGCATCACAAATGTCTTGGAAGAAGTGCAAGTGAAATGCTCCAGGGGAAAGGAGGGGTTAATAAGACTTCTCATGTAACTTGGGCAAAGGTATCAGCCAAAGGGAGACAGGCACCTGGGAAAGGACATTCCATGGTAGAGGATCAGCGCAAATAGGAAGCCGCAATGAGAAGACCGAGTAGCTGGAGCAGTGGCCTTCACCAGCGGTGGTTGTGAGGATGCCCAGAACATGCCTTGGCTGTGACTGAGTCAGAATTGACTATCAGTGGTCATCATTTGCATACACTCTGCTGTAGTCACATTCATTTTTTCTCTCTTTTTTTTTTTCTTTTCCTGAGATGCAAATCCACAAGAATGGGAACTAATGTACTTGAAAACCTGAACTTACTGATAATTAATGTTCTATTAAGAATTTTAATTTTAACTTTTTATTCTTCATTTACTAGTTGAGTATAAAGTTTTATTCTTTTTAATTAAACTAAAGCTGTTGAGTATTTCAAACTTTGATGTGAGACATAATCCACTTGGTTATGTTTCATATCACAAGCTTACCTGAAATACCATTTCAATGGGAAGTCATTTGTTCATAAAAATCTATACTAAATGGATTGTTTTATTACATCAAAGAGCTTTTTTGGTATCCATGTACCTATTTTTAATGCCACTTCTAATTGGAAATTTTTTATTCCCAGGGGACAAAATCAGATCTGTCATTCTTAAACATGTATATTGAATAAGACAATAAATTTTACACATACTTACATTACTATTATAAATGTCAACAATTGTTAAGTAATCAGTCCAGTGCATAGTATTTTATTATGTCTAACTTACCCTTTTTCCACCACGGTAAGGAGAGAGGTGGCTCTTCACCTAAGATTGCCGGATCAAGAACTCCTTAACATAAGGTTTCTTTTTAGAAACTTGTTACAAAGATGCTTTCTGAGTAGATCCTGGCTTCACTGCTTACTTGGTCTGTGGCTAGTGTACACAGCTTTCAGCTGTTAATTGACACGTTGGAAGGTTGTGTCTTTTTGCCTTAGGAAGCCTGCGGAGAAAGGCCGCAGCACCTCGTAGAACTCAGTGCACACGTGATTGCTGCATCAGGGTTGGTGACTAAATTGACTGCACAGTCAGTGTGCATATTGGTAGTGAGTGATGTGTTCCGTTTGGCACTTTAGTGGCTGGCCGTGGTTAAAGCATTACTGCTAACTAGAAAGTCAGCCATTGAAACGCATTTCCTAGTCCAAGTAAGAGTGAGTCTGGCTACTTTGATAGATTGCCAGTTGGAGCAGTCTGGGAAGTTCTCTTCTGTCCGACAGTGGCCCCGGGAGTCAGAATTACAGAATAGCAGTTGGTGTGGCTGGATCATTTCATTTGGCTTCGTGATAGATTCCCCACCCCTAAGAAGAAGTTCTTTGACTTGTGTAAACATATATTGTTTACAATTTAACAGGCCTCAATCAGTGGCCTGCGAGATTCCATTTTGTCCTTCCTCTTGTAACCATTCTTGGAAAAGATGGCGTAATTTTTAATTTTGTAGTCCTTTTAAAAAACGTTATAATCTTTATAAATTCCATTTCCAATTTCTTTCAATTGCCATTGACAGGTTGGAACGAGCAAAGAAGTTACAAGAACAGCGAGAAAAGGAAATGGTTGAAAAGCAAAAACAACAAGAAATTGCTGCAGGTAATATGGTTACTTTATTATAGAATTAATGCAGTTTTTTTTTAGTAGAAAAATAGGTGCAGAGAAGAACTGGGGTGGGGGAATCCATCCTTGTGAATGATTTTTACCATTTTACTTTCCCACTTCATAACATCTTTGTGCCAGTAAACTTTTTCTGAAATGAACGGGCCTTTTTTTTTAGACGAAGTACTTTAGTTTTCATTGCAGATGTCTTATAGTTGTGACTTTATTTTTTTTAAATTTTATTATTTTGTATGTGTACCATCAAATCAGATCTGACTGATACAGAAGGAGATTACCCCTCCTTCTCCAGCAGAGCATCTGGTGGATTCGAACCACATACTTCTGGGATTGCCATGCAATTTCTTGCCACTAGATCACCAGAACTCCCTCGTTGTGATTTTTTTTTATTACTATATTTTATTAAAACTTGGTGAAGTGATCTGAATGTAATGATGTATTAACATTGTGCCACCATTGCCTAGATGGTTGAAGGTGATCAGATCAGTCACTATTGATAGGATTCATGTGGAATGAATCTGCAGTGTGTTTTGACTTTCATAGTAAATACTGCGTTTGGTTTGTTTGGGCTTTTTGGGTTTTTTTAATTATTAACTGCCATTCTATATTTAGGGAGTTGAGGTGTGGCTACTTAAAAGTTTTTTAATACATGTTTGTATTATATATACTTCAATATAAAGTACTGCTCCTTTATATGCAGAGACTCAAACAAGCCTTTGTTCTTGATGTCAACAGTCATGCCTTTTTCCACGTCAGCTCTTTATGTGTGAGTCAGTATGTGGCTTTTCATGTCTGAATCCCCACACTTCTCTTCAGCAGCTGCAGCTACTGGAGGTTCTGTCCTCAACGTAGCAGCCCTTTTGGCATCTGGCACTCAAGTCACTCCTCAGATCGCTATGGCCGCACAGATGGCAGCCCTGCAAGCAAAGGCTTTGGCAGAGACTGGGATAGCCGTACCGAGCTACTACAACCCAGCAGCCGTGAATCCAATGAAGTTTGCAGAACAAGAGAAGAAAAGGAAAATGCTTTGGCAAGGCAAGAAAGAAGGGGTGAGTTCTTCTTGTCTCTCTCCTTACTAATGCTCAGAAAAACGTATGTACCTGTACTGGTCAATCCGATTGACAGTACACACACGCAAAATAATTAAAAAAAACCATATGTGATAAGTCAAGCTTTAAAGAAAATAGGCATTTTTACTGTATACTGTGGAGTGAGGAAGGAGTGTTTTGATTTAGGGGAGTTTATGAGTTTTGCACTTTGGGGCATTTTTTAAAATATGTTAACAGCAGTCTTTCATTATGCGCTGTGTTGGTAGAGAACTTAGTTATCAGTGATTAAAGCACTTAGTTGCAAACTGAAAAGTCAACAAAAGAGGCATTTTGCTTCCATAAAAACTTGCAGCCTCAGAAACTTTATAGGGAAGTTCTAATCTTGTTCTGGCTTGCTAGCTGTCAGAATCAAGAGCAGGGGATACTGAGAAAGTCAATACCTGTTGTTCTTTTTCTGTTTGTCTATATTACGAAAGACTGGCTATCATTGTTTTGCATATTTCTTAACAGGACAAATCTCAGTCTGCTGAAATATGGGAAAAATTGAATTTTGGGAACAAAGACCAAAATGTCAAATTTAGGAAATTAATGGGTATTAAGGTGAGTGATACTTGGGGTATTCCCCCCCTCCCCCGTTTTGTTATTTAAGAGCTACATCCCAATTTGAAAATACTTTGTTATTAACTGCAGGTATTTCAAGTGATTTTCTATGTCCAAATTAGTTGTACAGACTTAGTATAAAATTCATAACCTTCACTAGTTGATAGAAACTTGGTTCCACTTCAGTGTGTATATCACCTTTATTGTGATTATACCTTGTTGTACCATCAAGTTAGGATTTGACTCAACAGCTGACCCTCTAGAGGGTTTTCAGAGACCAGAAGCCACACGGGAGGAGGTTGTCCATCTTCTGCAGGGCCCTTTGAGTTGGGAGCACACCTCCTTACCACTAGGCAACCAGAGTTCCCCGCTATTCACCTTAAGTGGACTGCCATGTATGGGAAGCCTGCAGCGGCCATTAGTTCATTTACAAAATACAGATGAAGCCATGAGGCATTAATGTTTTTAATTTTTTTTTTCTTTCTCAATATAACTTGACATCCCCACTGCTAAAAAGGCCATCCTCTCCGTTTTCATGGTAATTTTACACCATCTGACGTGTTCTACCTGTGCTTCTGTCTCCCTATCTATAGAATGTTGTTAGATACCACCGAGTCAGTCATGTACCTTTCAACTGGCAGTGCATCTCATCACTAACACCCCCCCCGCCCGCCTCCTTTCTGAAATACTTCTATTATCCATGTTATTTTACTATCTTAGAAGACTGCCTTACACATTGTATGCATCTTCTACTAAGTAGAAGCTTACGAACTAAGTGGCAGCTACATGTCAAGCAGGGATCCAGAAAGTTTGGTGTGAAAATATTGTCAAATGGGGGGGAAAATCTGTTCATCTGAGTTCTTCATTTTTATATTTGACATTTAGAGTGAAGACGAAGCTGGATGTAGCTCAGTCGATGAAGAAAGTTACAAGACTTTGAAGCAACAAGAAGAAGTATTTAGGAATCTTGATGCGCAGTACGAAATGGCAAGATCACAAACCCACACACAAAGAGGAATGGGCTTGGGATTCACGTCGTCCATGCGAGGAATGGATGCCGTTTGAAAGGCATCACCCTGTACAGTTTGGGACTTTCTAGACTTTTTGTTGTTCTGATGTCAGGTCCTTGTTCACCAGACAGCTAGCATTCAAGCTTGCATGGGTGTCGCCTTGACTTTAATTTATTGAAAACAATGATTTCCCCTCCCCCTCCTTTTTTTGTAAATATCAGATCAGTGATGACTGGTGTTAGTGTTGTAATCAGGTTAAACCCACTTCCATTAAACTTGACAGGAATATATAGAAGGACAATATTTTTTAGTTCATGAATTCTGCTTTTCAAATATATAAAAGCTGCAGGTGGGATAAAGTCTCATACATGAATTTTTGTGTCTGCTGTCTTGTGTACTTTTGTACTTAACCTTGTACAGTTATTTTCATCTCTTGAAACATGAAAGAAATGTTATGTAGCTGTTCTTTACACGATCTGGCCATTTGGTAAATAATCCAGCAGATACCTGCTGGGTGGCAATGATAATAAAAATGGTTTTCTCAAAATTGGTGTTAATGAGATGACCTGAAATTCTTGTTTGAATGTCTTTTATGGTCCTCAGCATTTTGGAATTGGCATTAGAAAGTATTGGCTAAGAAATTCTCTCCTCTTTTTTTTCTAATTTAAGAAAAAACAAAAACCCAACAACAAACCCAATTATGCTATGAGCAGAACTATAGTTGAGCAAAAATGAAACTTTACTATTGGGTGAGAAGAACAAAGCCAGCTACTTTCCATCTGTGAGAGCTGGTGTAGTAGTATTCTATGTTACTTAAGAAAAACGCAGTCATGCGTTAAAGGGGTGTAAGCACTTTTCTTTTAATAAAAAAAAAGTGCCTTGTAACAAGTGCTCTGTATACCCTGCTCATTGTCCTTGGAAATAGTCTCTAACATCGTAACTACACTAAATGAAAGAAAACAATACTGTCATAGTGAATACACTGGAAATTATTGAGGGATAACCTCAGGCCAGGTGAGTCACTCTTAATGATGTGTGTATTATTTGAATTTATTCTCTGTGTTGGCCCCGTCTGGACCAAACACTCAACCTTTGATGAACTGGAATTACCAATTACTTAACTAGTTAAGGGTCATGCCTTAATTACTAAGGTTTAAACACCATAGCTATGGGTCACTTCCATCTTGATGGTACATAACTACTTTGTTAGATTTTTGTGATATATGAAAATCTGATTCTGCTTTAAGGTATGTTTTGGTAAATTCTTGAAATTATTCCCTGATGTCATTAATTCTAGGAGAAATTAAAGGATTTTTTTGGTCATCGATACAGTGACTAACAGGCTTAATTAAGCATGTCAGATGAGCTCAGGTCAACTCGATGGTCACCTAACATTTTCCAGAATATTTTAGGACGTGCTTGTGACTGAATTCATCTAGGACAACATTTTTTAATATAAATACAGTATTAGGCCTAATTTAAAATCTGGTATTCAAATTGATTTTTTTAAAGTGACATTCTTGTGAGTTGAGGGGGAAAATGCATTCAGTTGGGCTACTACATAATGCATAAAGTCCTCTCTGTGGGAGAGACTGATGGTGTTTATGGTCTCCAGCTTCAGAAACCCTGTGAGGCAGTTGACAGTCCCAGGACAGAGTCAAAATCAACTCAACAGCAATAGGAGTTTAAATGGCTTTTTCCTAGTTCCTATAATGTTTCACTTGTAATTTTTGTGAAAGATGGCAAGTTCAACAATTAGTGATAGTCAAGTTCAGTGCTGCTGAGGACATCTTTCATGTGCAACCCGTACTGCTCTTTGCAAATTATTCTACTACAGCCAATTCAGCTTGCCCTTCCTTAGTGAAAACCTTCCAAGTCCTCCCACATTTGCCTCATAGCTCAGCAACCCTGCAGGACAGTAGAACCACCTGTAGAGTCTCAAGGCTATAATCTTCATGTGAGCAACTGCCCCTTCTTCCACAGAGCAGTTGGTGAGTTCACACCACCCACTGTTCACTTGTTACATGTCATCGAGTTTAAACCCACTCGTACCTGTCCCTGAGGCTGTCAAAGCGCGTGGGAGGAGAATGCCCATTCTTGTCCCGTGGAGCAGCTAGTGGATTCAAACTGTGTGCCTTAAACCTGGCAGTGCAGCTGCTTTCCTCTAGGCAGCGTGAGAGTTTTTTACATACACGCAACTTAATTGGTTTTCTCATTTACATGATTCACATACTTGATATCAACACTCATTGACTCACCCTGTATGATTTAAGAACAGTAACTGATGAGAGCAGGGAGGTTTTTCTCAAATCCTCGGTGCCTGACGCATTGAAAGGGAATGGTTCAGTAATGAATGGTTGAAGAACCCACAGAAGGCTGCAATAGAAAAATCTAATGTAGTGTAATGGTAGAGCTAATAAAGCCATAGTGCTAAGAAGCTGTGTTGCAATACCAAAGGCATATGGTTCAAATCCACCACATTCTGGGGGATCGGAGCGGGAAGATGCATAATCTATTTGGGCGGCTGGAGGGTCAGTTATGACTCTAAGGCACATAAGAATAGATTATAGGAGGGGTGAAAACCAAGTAGAATGATGATCTTATCTGAAGAAATAAAGGTATTAGGTGCCGGGGAGTGGGTTCCCGAAGTGAACAACGAAAATAATGCCCTGTGGTCACAATTGTGCCTCATTGTGGGCTCACTGTTGGCGGCCACTGGTTGGCCAAAGTAGCCAGGTATATAAAGCTCATAAAGGTGATCCGCTGCCACGACGGAGTTCCTCGCTCGCACGTGCTGGTTCGCACGCACATCAGAGCCTGTGATAAATCACGTCTGCCTCTGATTCCACGTGCACAGCAAAGATAACCAGTAATTTATTCCCGTCTAGTCCGGCTCGCTCCACGCTTTGAAAGGACAATCCCAGAATGCAAAGCAGCCCGCGCGTCACGCCGGAGCTGGAATCCAGCGAGCCCGGCATGCCCTGCGCCCCCGCGCGCTCGGAAGTGACGCACGGCGACGTTGCATTCTGGGAGTTGTAGTCTCAGGCCCGCCCCCGTGCGCCCGCGGCCTGCGGTAGGACAAAGCCTGCGGGCCGGCGCGGCCTCCCTCCACCCTTTCCCGGGCCCGGCTGCCGGCTCCGCCTCCTCGCCGCTCTCTCCCCCCCCTCCCCCCGGCCCAAGATGGCGGCGGAGGTGGACTTCGGCGACCTGGAGCTGTTCGAGGCGTTCGAGCACCCGGACGAGTCGCTTCCGAACCCCGTCCATACCCGCTTCGAGGAGGACGGGGAGGAAGCGGGAGAGAACGGGGTGGGCGACGCGGAGCTGCAGGAGCGGCTCCGGCGCTACGAGGACACGGTGGAGCAGCTCCGCGCCGAAAATATCCTTCCCGCGGCGCGGGGCCTGCGTGCCGGGGCTGCGGGGCGGCCGGGGCGGCGGG